TCAAAAAAAATTGCATCAAAGTTGTTGAAATGTTCAAAAGAACTTTTAATTTTAGATATTTCAAGTATTTAAAAAATAAGAAAACATGGGTATAGAAATTGAAGCATGATTTGTCTCAACGCCATTTTTATATTTCAAAAATTTGGAAAAAAGCTGACTTCTAAATATCCCCTTTAAAATTTTGATATTCACGTTCTTAAGGAAATTTTCTCAATTTTTTTTTTTTTAATTTAGCAATTTCAAAATGAAATAAACAGTTTATAGAATTTTTATTGACATAGTCTAATCAAGTCTTTACAACAATGGTCTTTAAAATTTCCTGCCAGCCATTGCAAAAAATGGCTCATATTGTTGTAAAGTCTCAATTTGATTATGCCAAAAATAAACTTTTAATTTTTTAACTGTTACAACCATCAAATGAATTATAAATTTAATTTTCACAATGGAGTATTTGTATTTTTTTTTTTTAATTTCCTGTTTTAAAAACCTAAAACATTAAAATTTAATTTCCAACTAAAATGTTCCATTGATTCTTTCCTTCTAACATAAAAAGATTTTTTCTTACTCCTAAAATTCCTCTTCAGAACATAGAATTCTCCTCTTCACACGAGGGCTTTGCGTTTGCACGCAATTCCTCCAAAATTCGTGTCTACTTTTGTTTAACCCTCTTTTAAAAAATCCTGAAAATATTCCGTGACCGGAATCAGGGGCCGAGGGAGCAATCTAATTTATTAAAAAGGCTGCTCTCTCCCGCACAAAACCAACGTCATTCAAAATCGATTCGCACTCTGGCGTGCAAAAGGGTGCGAGCTTACTTTTAAAACCCTCTGCCAACAAAAATTACACGACGTGTCTCTCTCGCGCGCCCTCTAATTTCGAGCGCAAAGTCTTTTAATCTGCGCGTAATATCAACACATGCATTGAAAAGCCTGCGTGCGAGTCAAAAAGAGAGTTTGCCGAACGAAAAAGCTGCTGTTTCCCTCAAATTGGCGTTGCTGCGTTCCATGTCGGCCTAATGACGAAAAGCCGCCGAACGCTTCCAATCAGCAGGAAATAATTGAGCCAGCCGTCGAGACCAACGTCATCATCTCAGCCTAAATAACCCGGCAGCAACAAAATTACTTTGGCTCGTCTCGGGTAATTGGGCGTTTGTTAAAACTTTGAGCGGATTCGCCGATGCCACATGGGACCCGCCGCCGGCCGGATAATTGCGCTCCCGGCCAGAATTTCAATTTCGCCCCCGACCAGCCGGCTGCACCGAGAAAAACGTAATCAAATGCGAATTCCTATTCGCCGGCCCTGATTGTTCTCCGTCTCGCCGAGGAGAAAACGCGCGGTCGGTCTGCGTGCGGAATTGAATCTCGCTCTGCACATGAGGGTCCTCGATCGCTTTTTCATACTTTTTGCACTCGGTCCCTCTCTCCTCGCATGTTGATTTATCAGCCAGCCTGCATGGGGCTTTTGATTGAAATTTGATAGAGGTACACCTGTCGAGATTGGAAGGGAATATTAAATTAGCAGCAAATGGTTTCCAGTTTCTCGGGTATAACTTTGTTATGCAACGGGGAGGAAGTTTAATTTAGTTCGGGGAAAAATATATGAATTGTATCCCGATATTTAATATACGAAGGAAAACTGATTGCAAGAAAAGCAGTCATAAAATCCTAATAATTTGCTTTTAATCTTTTAGATCATTTTCCATAGTTCCAAGAATATAAGTTGAATTATCATTGAAGATAAATGTTTTAGATAAATTTAAAGTAATTAGTGTTAGTTACTATAACATATATTTGTATGCAACTCTTATAAATAAATCATTTTTACTTTTAACTTTACTTTGACTGAGGAAATGAAATGCTTCTTTGCGGTTTCGTCAAGAACTTTATCTAAATTAATGATAATATTAGGGGAAAAAATTGCATTGCTTACAAATATACTTCCATTAAACTTATGTAATGTTTCATTTGCCAAATAAAACACCCTAGGTTGCATCTACCTTTTATAGTTTTGTCAATTACTATATTTAAAAAAAAAAATGAAAATAGTTAATAAGAAATATGAATAAAAAATATACAATAATAAAATGAAAGTTTTGATTTTATTTGAATTTAACAATGAGATTTGAAATTTCGAAAAAAATTATTATTACTATTGGAAGTAGATTTTCGTGAGAGAGTTTCTATAACAGAACTAGCGAGTTTCCTTTTTCCTTGTAACCTACTATATGTGGCCCCATTGAGGTGAGATGTGCGAGATGCCATTGTGAACAAGAAAGCATTCAGACTCTACTGCTCCACTCCACCGAAAAATCGAACCGTTCGTGACTTGTCGCACATCTTTTTTGCACCTTCGCCACTCTCGACGCGCTTTCATTTTTTCCGCCTCGCAGGCGAATCTGAATCAATCGCACGCGATAATCTTTCGCAGGCGGTGCGAGGTTCCGCGCCTAACGATCGTTCATTTAAAAAAAAATCCACCAGACCGTTTGTCTTCGCTAATCCCGCATTTTCAATCACACTAGTCGTGATTGGCAATAAATTCCACTTGCTTTCCGAGAAACCAATTTCGTTTTATTTTTATTTATGGAAAAAGGCGACGGACACTCTATATTTTCCAATCAGTTCGGACTGTCAATCTCACGCCGGATGGACAAAATAATAATATAAAAAAGCTCGCCGGCAATAAAGGCGCAAAAGTGGGACTGGTCGCTTCCGATGTGTCCCCTGCTGCCGGCTGTGCATCAAATAAAGGAAGTACAGGATAAAGAACACGTTCTGCTCCTATCGGCCGGCACTAAAATAAAAACACACGGCCAGTTCGTTTGTTCTTTGCTGAAGAGTGCAGAAGTGGCGAAAAAGAAAGGAAGCTTGTTATGGTGTTGGGAAATAAAGTTTGGCCTGGATTCTCTTACTTAAACAAGTTCCAAGGATTAACCCGGCAGGCCAAGCCTTCCGTTCTTTCTCTCTCTCTCACCCCCTTTTACCTCTGCCGTACCTGCGCAAAAACAGAGTCGTCTTTGAAGCAGGCCCAATTTTTTGCCCCTTGAACACGGAGAGGGGATTTTTGCACCGCGCCCGGCCGAGGTGACTCTCGGTGCAAAGTTTTTAAATTGGGAGATTTGTGGCTGCGTCAGAAAAGTTCACACAAAAGCCGTCGATTTTGAATGTTAAAGGAGCGCGGCGGGTTCGGCGAGTCTTTATGATGTTGAAGGGCTTTTCAGACAAAACTTTCCATTGATTTAAAAACTTGCTGTGAGTTTTTTTTTCATTTATATTTTCCGCCAGGTTGATTAGATCTTTTCTTAAAAATTTGCTCTGATGTTTGAGAACTCATATAAAGTATCATAATTAATAATAAGAAAAGGATAATGAAAATCTCATAACGTAAAATTTGAATTAATAGAGCTTCAGTAATTTTGTTTTAAGTTTTTCACTGAAAAATGATTGTTCGGAATTATTCTGCAATTTTGTGAGCAATTTTCTAAAATATTGAATCAACAATCAAATAATGTATCAGAATTTTTTTTTTAAATTTATAATAAAAAGTATTTCAAATAAAAAAACCCATCTTGTAAATCCCTGCAAAAAAAACAGCTCGTATTTTCCCCCAACCGAAGGCAAGGCACCGTCATAAAACTTCCCTCGCCGTGTCCTTGGAGATGTTATCTGGCCGCCTCACAAGTTGTCCCCGGTTGCGTGAAACCCCAGAAACACACCCGAAACTTATTTTCGCCGCCGAGTTGAGTTTTTTCCCGCTTATCTCGCTTACAAATTGCCCCTCTTGTTGAAAAAGTTGCGCCAGAATGATAATTCAAATTATTAAATGCAGAGACCTGTGAACCCTTTTCCTGGGCAGCCCAGGGGGCGTTGCTGCTCTTCCTCGCAACTTGAGTGAAATTTATGAAGGCCGCCAGCGCGAATTGCACATAATTTTTTTCTTACGGCCAATTTGGAAGTTTGCCTCGCTCCGGTTCACCAGGTACCATAATGGAATGCGCCTCGCCAGACGTTGAGAAATACACGCCGAGGGTGATGGGAAAAGTTGACTCGAGCCCATATTTCACTAAAGCGGCGCATGAGGAGGCTCTTTGTTTTTTGTAAATTACAACCGTTTTTCACTTTCACAAGGGTAAGGGGAATCAATCAATCGCACTTGCTATGATAAAACAACATCATTGCTTTCTTTAAACTGATCCCTAAAATTAAAAAAAAAAATTAAACAGTAGAATTGACAAATTTCCCATGTCAAGTTTCAATTCGTTAAACGGGAAAAAAATCAAAATTCAAATCATGGAAATTTGACGTTTTAATAATAAAATTCAAGAGATTTTTTTACAAGTTTATTTATGTATAATATTTGAAAAGAATCTTCCAAAATTATTGCCGTTATTTATAAAAGAAAACTAAAAAAAAAACTATTTATTTTACTAAAATAAAAATAAACTAATAAATTAAATAAATGGAAACTCAACTGGGACTGTTTTTAACTAAAATTTGAGGCTCTAAGGAGAAAAAGTGCCTATTTTGAATTAAAAATTCTGATTTATCAAAACAAAAATTCACTAATTAACGCCCCGCTTCAGAAATGATCTAATTACGGCAAATTTGCTCGCTGCCAAGCATGTAATTCACGATTTAAACTTGTACTGCACCCGAAGGTTAATTGATTTTCGCTTGAAAGGACGAATGTACTCGCACACTCTGAATGTCTGCGACGTGAAAAAAAATTCTCTTCGACGTCTTGTCACTCGCCGCGAAAGCCGCAGGGTTCAATTCAATACCCGAGAGTTTAATTGGACCCTCGCTAACCGCAGTTGCCTCCAACCAAAGTTCAATAGTCAGCGAACTTTGTGCATACAAACTTGGTGAATATTTGCGATAGACCCTCGGTCAATTGCCAAGCAATGCCTTTCGCTCGGCAGTCGAACAAATCTCTGATGCTGCATATTTCGAAGGTTTTGATAAATAACTTAAAGGGTGCGTGTGCTTGTTTTGCAACAGGAGCGGTCGGCGGCGACGATGACGGCGACGATAAGGAAAAGGAGGAAGAGGCCGAAAGAGAACGCCAGGAGGCGATCCGCGAGGCCGAGGAGCGACGCAAGGAGAAGCACCGGAAAATGGAAGAGGAGCGCGAGAAGATGAGGCAGGAAATCAGAGACAAGGTATGAATTTATATTTTGCGCCTCGCTTTCCTCATAATCGCATTAACGCAACACGAAAAACGGTGAAATTTTCATCCGACAGGCTCTCTTGCATAATCTTGAGACAGTAATTTTGATTAAAAAATTCAATTTCGAGATTAAGTGAAAAATCTGTTTATAAAATATGAAAATCGCAAAAATAATAAGCTTCTGGAAATATTTAATTTAGAGTTAATTCCTTTTCTCCTGCATTTTTCACTCCCGTTGAAGAAGGCAGAACAATACTTTTAAGTCATATAGTTGATCAACCGGGTTTTTCTATATTGATAAGGTTTCTTTTATTATATTTTGAAGTAAAAACTGCTTCTTAAAAATAAAATCTTTTTCAACGAGGAATAACTCAATACATCAAAGATACAAATACTTTTTCCTATATTTCTACTTTTAACAAATTTCTTATTTATTTTCTTTTTATATTTCTACACTGCAAAATTTGTATAGATTTGTATCCAATTAATTACTAAATAAATGTAATTTATTTCAAGCTAATATATTTAATTTACAATAGCCTTTTCCTTTAAAATATTTGCTATATGTTTTATTATTTTAAAGAAATTTTTTTAAACACATTTGTTTTCTTTCTGATTCTCTCTACCTCGTGTTTTACAAACAAAAATGTCCAATTCTTTCTGTTATCACATACCCCGCCCCAAGTTGAAGATATCAATATGAGATTTACACCACTTGATCATCTTAGTTCCAAGGCAAGTTTCCTAAATTTTTATCAAAACATTTTCAAAATTGCGGGTTTTATGGGACATTTTGAAAAAATCAAAAAACGCAATTATCTCGGCTTCTAGTGGTCGTAACACAATTTTCCGGGTATGGTTGAGCTCGTCTCAGCAAGTTCTACAGTTATTCTATTAAAAGCAAAATTGTAGGTCAAAGGTCAAGGTCAATTTTTGTGAACGTAAATTTTCAAACTCAAAATTGAAAACCAGCCGACCATTTTAAATTAATTTTGAGATAGCCAAACGATTCCTCGTGAAATTTTACGTAATATATGTCAAAACTGCGATGAGGTTATTTTTTGTTAAATTTAAAAATAAATAGGAATATTAAAAAACATGGTTTTTTGCAACTCCGAAGGCAGGGTCAACCTTATAATCGCATTTAACTTCGTCCCTGATGATTTTAGGTAAAAATTGATAATGCTCAAAGTTGATCCCCACGTCAAGACCAATCGAATGATGTATAGGTCAATGACCTTTGGTGACCTTCAGGTCAAAGGTCACCCAGGTCGGCGACCTGAGGTCACCTGACCTAGATGTTTGATATGTTTTTGAAAAGGTCTTGTTAAGAAGATAATTTTGGTTACCATATTTTCGTCTGTACCTCGACTACAAACCAAATGATTGTACTTTTGTTTAATTAAATGCACAATTTTATGAGAAGTGAATTTGAAAAGTACAATTATTCGGCTTGTAGTCGATGAACAGACCAAAAATTGGTGACTAAAATTATCTTCTCAACAAGACCTTTTCAATGACATATCATCCATCTAGGTCACGTGACCTCAGGTCGCCGACCTGGGTGACCTTTGACCCGAAGGTCACCAAAGGTCATTGTCATATACATCATTCGATTGTTCTTGACGTGGGGATCAACTTTGGTCCTTATTACTTTTTACCTAAAATCATCAGGGACGAATTTAAATGCGATTATAATGTTGACCCTGCCTTCAGAGTTGCAAAAAACCATGTTTTTTAATATTCTTATTTATTTTTAAATTTAACAAAAAATAACCTCATCGCAGTTTTGACATATATTACGTAAAATTTCACGAGGAATTGTTTGGCTATCTCAAAATTAATTTAAAATGGTCGGCTGGTTTTCAATTTTGAGTTTGAAAATTTACGTTCACAAAAATTGACCTTGACCTTTGACCTACAATTTTGCTTTTAATAGAATAACTGTAGAACTTGCTGAGACGAGCTCAACCATACCCGGAAAATTGTGTTACGACCACTAGAAGCCGAGATAATTGCGTTTTTTGATTTTTTCAAAATGTCCCATAAAACCCGCAATTTTGAAAATGTTTTGATAAAAATTTAGGAAACTTGCCTTGGAACTAAGATGATCAAGTGGTGTAAATCTCATATTGATATCTTCAACTTGGGGCGGGGTATGTGAGAACAGAAAGAATTGGACAAATCCGTTTTAGATGCTTTTAGATCGTAAATGTAATTTCAGTTCCGAGATAAATTTTTTCCTCCGCTGCTTTTTTGTCTTCAACCACGTCTGAATTTGTTATTTTCTATAAATTCCCATCACTGCCAGTCCGTCTCCCGTGACGTGGAAATCGCTCAAAAGCGTCATTTAACATCCGGAAGAGAGAAAAAGAAAGAGCACTCGTGTGATAAGAAAGTCAAAGGCGAGATTTTCGCAGCCTCTTTCATTGGGCAGAAACGTTGAAAGCTCGTTCACTTCTCGGTAATCAAATTTAATCAGCAAATGCGTCCGTCCGAGCGAGCGACTTGCTTGCAATTCAATACAGGGCGGAATAAATGAATTTAAGCGCGACTCTGAATAAAACATTTCAGTTCGAATCAAGAGTGAGAGAGCAAAGTCCATCCATTTCTGGCGCAATGGATGAATTTCCGGCTGTCTCCGGTGCAGGCCGCTTTTTCACTCTCGTCCTTCGCTGCTTGCATTATAGATAATGACTCGAGGCGTTCGCCAAGGTGGAATTTTATATTTTTTTCTTTTTCACTCGGTTCCGACCGCAGAGAAGCATTTTGCTCTCCAAGCTGCCATTTGCGGCGCGGGTAAAACTGCTCTGGCACGTCAGGAAGGGGATCCGTCTGCAATTTTGCCGCTAAAAGCGGAGAACGTTAGTTTTCGCTTTTTGGCTACGGCTTTGTCACCGCCTGCCACTTTGCACTTGAAAAAATTGCCTTTTGTGTTCCGTGAGCCCCCCATTTGGCCAAATTTCCAGCTTTTCGCCCATACGAGGTGCTTTCGGGTCGAATATTTCTCCGAATGTTGCAGCCTTTCACGGTTCATTTCAAACCATTTTCCTCCTTAGTAAGTTTAATGCTTTTTATGCCTCATAAATTTAAATATTACATTATTCTAAATCGAAATCAAGAAAAGTTTGGTATTTTTTTTTAAGTTTTATATGTTCCAAAAACCATTTTTATCAAAATAATATTAATTTTTAAATAATTGATTAAAATTTTATCCAAGAACCAATTTATAATATTTCTCAAGCTAAGATGCTGTTTTGGGCTGTATAAATAAGTTTGATTTTTTTTAATTATAATTAAAATTAAATTGTAAATATTTTTAGGGTGGGTCCAAATATTAGAGAAATGATTCTAGAAACGATTCTCTAGAAACGTTTCTCAAGGAATGATTCTTTAGTTGAATTTTGAAGGCAGAAACGATCCTGGAGAATCCTTGCGCGAGAATCTTTTCTCGAGAATCGTTTCTCCAGAATCGTTTCTCTGATATCCAGACCCACCCTTACTCTACTCTAGTCAATACAGAAAATGATTTTTTTAAATTTGAATGCTCGATAAATCCAATTATGTTAAAAGCAAGATAATTGATGCAAACTTCGTCGTGCACGCATCTTTTGTTTAATCATCAATTAAGCTCACCTGCCTCGAAACAAAGCTTCGCTGTTGTGTGTGTCAATTTTGAGCCGGTGCTGCCTGCGAACATTGTTTGTAAATGTCAATGTGTCTGATTCAATCGCGTGATTATGAAAATGTGTACGTGCGTCGGCTGGAATGCCGCATGCAATTAATTTGCACCGTCGGATCGATCGATCGAGCAATGGCTGCGCTCACTATGCGTGCTTCACCGCCGTAATTTATGTGCAAAAATATCCTGCTGATCCGATTGTTTTGATTGCCTGGTCGTGTTTGCCATTGGTCGAGTAAAATCTCAAATGTGTAAAGCGAGCAATAAATTTGCTGGCCACCAAAGTGTAGTTGGATTATGCTCTCTGCTGGTAATTGCCACGGGGAAAGAGTAATCGGTTTAAACTGCAAATCGAGTTTTAAAATGGCAGAAAATTCCATCAATATAAAGAGTTAAACATATATATTTATTCTCACAAAAAATTTGATATCGACAATTTATGCTCTTAATTTCCATCATCCTCTGATTAATTCATTTTATTTTGAATGCTGCTATTTCAATATCGTTTGTCGGAGGCGCCTCTCTCGTTCTACACCAACACTAATCCATTTGCCACACTAGACTAATCCACTGATCAAACGCTTTGGTAATCGCATCAAACTGCCCCGGACGTGTGCGGTGCCGACTACCGACCATTGTGCCGCGGGCAGAACATTCGTCAGCATCCCTAGTATGTACTTTTTGCCCTCGACCGGGGCGATTTTGCTGCATCGCAATCAATCTCATGAAATATTCATCCGAACCCGGGCTGTGTATAGTGTATGTACTTGACTCTCGGGAAGAGCGGAAACTTTGTCGTCGTGTTAGTTTGTTTGTTTGTTTGCTTGCTCTGGTGGAAGAGAGAGCAGATGAGTGAGGCGCGGTAATCACGGCGAGGCCGCTAACGAAGACTGCAACTCAATCGGGGTCAAATTGACTCTAGTAGGGAGTCCGGTTTTTAACAGGCGACTCCCTAACGGAGTCAGATTGACCCCCTTCTGAGGAAGAACGACCCTACATGGACCAACCGCTGCGAGCACCAAATGCAAGATTTTCTCACGCACTTTTACAACCAACTGAGTGTTTGATTATTTTAAAATTGCCACAATTATTTAAGGATTATTTGTGTGATAGTTTTGTAAATAATATTTATTTAAAAAAGAAATTTATTTTTAAATTGTCTACTTCTGATTTGTTTTCATTGCTCAAGAATGCAAGACTGCTGACAACTTTGTGGATTTGTAATTTATGTTCTAATTTTTGTCACTAACTTAACTGGTTAGTTTTATGTCTGTTCATTAACTCCATAATTTGATTTCAAAATAATTAATAGCAGTCATACAAAAAATTTAATACAAATTTACCTGGACTGTACCTAAAATTTTATTTAAGAAAATAATTTCTTCAGGCCTAAATCACTCTAGAACTTAAATGATAATTATAATTTTTACTGATATTAGTGATATTCTCTAATGTTTATAGGTGGATTGATTAAAGGTGTTATTAGTTGTGCTCGTAGAAAAAGAAATGAATTGTATAACAATTTTTATTTGCCTAAATTATTATTTCCAAATTTTACAAGCTATGCTTAGAAATTAAATATTTTGAGTAAATTTATATAAAATTAAAATTTCTGCGCTTAGTATTAGTTACAATAAAATTATTAATTTTTCTCGTTGAATTTCTTCTCTGGCGCGTCTGAATCTCTAGTGATGCTATAAGTCCCTATTTAATATTCTAAAATCTATGAAATTGAATGTAAATAAAATAATTAAATTTTTTAGGGAGAAACTTGGTTTTTCCTATGATCACAGAATGAAAATATTAATGAAAGAAATTATAGAAAATTTTAATCTCCGATATTATTGTGTAAGAAGGGATATTGAATTAATTCACTGTTTTCTATTATAAGCATTTTGAAATGAAAATCAAACACATGCAAACAACTGTCATTCAAACTTGGTGCAGCATTGCACTGCATCAAAGTGTCACTAATTAGCAGCTAAACACAGAGCAAGCAGGAACAAATGACTGATATTAGAGACACGTTGGTGTGAGTCGGTTGCTTATGTGCAAATTGTGCCCGTCGCATTCAGCTCACGTTGATTGGTTATTCCACTGCCATGCACTAACAACTCCAGCCTCGATCACTGCATAAATTAATTTGGCCTACCGTCGGCTGCGGCTTTGAGCAGCTGGAACTCACTGGCTGCGGTCGCCGGCAAAAATTAGTTTTCGCTGATTTAATTACCTCGTGCGGTCCTGTTTGAATCGAAAATGGATGTGGTTAGTGTGCATGCGTACAATTGCAAAACTTTCAAAATGGTGCCTGCTTTAATTCGGCGATGCGTGCTATTGATTTGCTAATTATTTTATGCTGCCACCTTGTTTGATTCAATAATACGATTCAATCAAATATTTGAAAGTGTTATTAAATTTCAATTCGTTTTGATGTCAAAATATTCTGCTTTCGGTGTTAAATTATAAAAAAAAAAAATAGCAAAGAAAACAATCACACTTAAGAAAGTTTGAAAACATTCAAAAAATTATGGAATCAATGAAAAAGTTATAATCGGAAAAAAGGCTGAAGTTTTTAATTCATTTAGATAATTTAAATAAATTTGTGTGTATTTTTATTTATATTCATTATTTCATATTGATTGCAATGACCTTTTTGAAAGAGAAATAAAAGCTGGTCGCTGTCCATAATTTAACTTGGCAGTGGATTTGACGTTCGTATCCCTTTTATAGCCACGCAGTTCTGCGGATGACAACCCGCTGGCGGCGGGGATAATTCCGTTTTTATTAATTACGCCGCGATAAAACCTTCATCGCAGTCATCAAAAGTTCGTCTTCTTCAGCCGTATTAGGCAACGCGGGTAATTGGTAATTTGGTGATTTGTTGGCGCCGAGACCTTTCCTAAACTTTCCCAACTCTCTCTCGGCGGGCCAGATTAATTAACCTTATTTGTACTAAGGTGTATTACATGGTATTGCGGGGTACCTGGAATTGTTGAGCTAAATTGGCCGGGTTGGCGAGCACAACAACAATTACGCACGGACGGGCTAGTATAATTGAGGAGTGCGACGCACATTATTTGATTGCTCGGACAAGTGCAGAATAGCATTATCAATGCTGATTTTATTGTTCCTGCCCTCCGCTTTGTGTGTGTGCGCGCGTACATGATGGAACCGACAACTCGTGCAAAATTCAATTACAACGCTTCAAACCTGAAAAGCTTTTTTGGCCGGGTTTTATTGCGGTTGGGCGTAATTGAGGCTTATTGATGTTTGTCTGTTTTTTTTATACAATACAACGATACTTGTTAGTCATTGACAAGGATATTTTGGGATACAATGGTGAAAAAAATAGATAGGAGCTTCCTTTCTCTCTGGTTTTGTGATTTTTTTAGAGATTTGGTTGATCTGTATTAAGCAAAATTATTTATCATATTAATAAAAGAAACATTATTTCAACTTCAAAAGCTATAGTTCCTATTTCTAATACAAAATCATGAAAAAAGTTTTCTGATTTTTATATAAATTAATCAAGCATGAGCTTTTTATTGAAAATTTTCTACAGTATACCTATTTTCTTAAAATTTTTTATATTCAAGCTACTTTTTTATTAATTCTTGTATAAGAATTGCTCTTAAAACTTTAGAAATTGCTTCTCAACGTGAGTAAAAGAAAGCCTGAGAGGACCTATCATTTCCTCCCATATGGTTTCTCACCAGTTTTTGTGGTGTTTCTTTTAAAAGATGAAAATGTGATTTTGCGCATTGCAGTCTTTTCCTTTTAGTGCTCCAAATGTAAAATCATTATTCAAACCTCGTAAAGTAATTCCTTTGAAAATCGACAAGATTTAAAGGGAAAACTTAATGAGTCTATGAATGATAGAATCGAAGAAGAAGAGTTTTCTTCTCTACCGCATGCCACATGTATGTATGATGCATATATTCTGGAGAGCTTTCTTTTCTCCAACGGATTAAGCCCCTTGAGCCACCCGAAAGCTTACTTTCAACCCCAAAGGTCGTCGTGAGACACCCAGGGACAAAAATCCGCTTGACCGAACTGCTAAAAAGGCTCAAGGAAGTCCCACAAAGTTCTTTTTTTATATCTCAGGGATTCACCGAGGCAAAAAGATTATTTTAAATTAGCGAGCCTTTTCCCATTAATTGAGTTGATATCTCAAGCGCATTTAATTTTTAAATTACTTAACTCTTTCATTAAGGTTAGAATTCCACTTTTAAGTTTTTTGAAAAATTTTCTTTATCCACCCAGAAAAATTTTACTTTTTCGTGGAATTATATTTAATTTAGTTTCAATTTTTCTCATCAATCGCAATATTTAAAAAAATCACAAAAACTGGTACAAGCGGTTAATTGTTTTATTTGTTATAAATAAAAACAATATTTCAATGACCCACCTCAAGGCCTGTTTTTTTTTCTTGAATTTGTTTTCTTTTTAATATAAAAATATAGGAAAAAATTTAATTTTCTCCTTGCAGATGTTGAAGCTCTTGAAATCAAAAGCCCCGTCTTATCCAGATTCTCTTTTTTTTTTCAAATTAAAAATCTTGCCAGCTGGAAATTTTCTTCCAAAGCACGCGCGCCGACTTTCGCTCTCGAGTGGTGGCGACGCGTGCCTCTCGGCTCTCTCAGCCCACACCGCAGATCGGCTTTGCCCCAGTATTAAAATTCGGCTTTGGTTTTGTGTGTTGCAGTATAACATCAAAAAGAAGGAGGAAATCCAGGAGATGATGCCGCCGGAGGATCCCAATCCCTTAATGCGCAAGAAAAAAACGCCCGAGGAGTTGGCCCGCGAAGCCGAAGCCGAGGATGAAGATGAGTTAACGAGTCAGTCCCACCTCTGTCTTCTTTCTTTTCTGCTCATTTCACTTCAACTCCTCCATTCTAAAGACTTGTTTTCCTGAAAACAGAGTTTCGGTTCTCGCAACTAATTATCAAAACAAAATCATAGCACACTTGAAAACACAACATTCCACTTTCGCCATTTTCTCGGCTTAATTATTCCGAGCGCGCTGTGCGGTTCCGCACCGCTGACGTTTTCAATTATTGCGCGGAAAATGAAAGGAAAATAAGGTTTTAGATTGCGACGCTTTAGAAACAGCTCGAGCACTTTGGCCTGACACTTTATTTAGCCGCGAGAAACGCACACATACACACACCAACACACATACCCACAAATCGGGCGAGAGGCGACGAAATTCACTCCCATAGGGAGCTAGACGGCCTTTCCTTGTTTTCGGCGAGCAATTTGAATATGAAATTAAAGTGATTTCGCAAGCTTCCTGGCGAATTTCCATAGCGACAAAAATCAAGCTTTAAATTATTATAGCGGTCGGCCCGAAATTCGTTTGAATTTTTGATGAGACGCGTGTTATTTCCCAAGTCCCTGCGGCATTACGTTTTTTGTCCAAAATGGGAAACGGACGGACTGTCCTGCAGGGAAATTTATTTCATATACAAAGCGACCTTTTTCACTGCAGTATCATGGCCGCTGCGGGAGCAGCACTCTTTGAATTTTTCATTATAAACTGAAAACTTTTTACTCCATCAAACATAAAGTTAAAAAGTATGGTTACAGTTAAAATAAAAATTTCAGATCAATTTCGTTTACTAAAAAATCAAATTTTTCCTCTTAATCATTTGAATAATTTTAAAGCCAAATTTAATTATTTGAAAGTTTTTGACAATTGAAAAATTGTGTGCAAATTTGCTCAAAATAATAAGTAATAATAATTCCTAGAATTTAGATTATTAAGTTTTACAATTTTCAATGTATTTTAACAAATATTTCCGACACGAATGAAGTAGCAAGAGCAATGTTTCCCTTCTTAACTGTCCCATTATTATATTAATTGAGTTAATTCATTCCATTAACCTCATGTTTATTCAAAACGCACACTCGAAATTCACATCAAAGTCCACTTTTCACTGTTATTCCTAAAATGGCGCGTGCCCATTTACATCCTGTTAGGTTTTATTAAATTTAAATGCCATATTAAATAAACTTTCCTATCTGCAGTTTGATATTATTCAATTTCCCATTCGGTTGAAAGCCGGCAGTTTAACGAAGTTGTTAACACTTGCGTCCATTCTGCGCTTATGGAAACACGCCACGACTGACTTAGTGCCGGCGCCACTCCCTAACGCCTGAGATAAAATAATTAGCAAAACTTTGACGAAACGTTCCCTTCTGACAAAACTGGGAGAGCACTCTGCTCGCGGCGCCATTTGCATAATGTTGTTTCAGGCAACCTGCTTAGCAAGACGGTCCTGCCGGTTGCATAACCGCGCCAAAGACCATTGCGAATCGCCACCACTAGGCAATTAGAAATTCAAATTGGTCGTCGAAAAGCCAAACACAAATTACGCAAATCGTACCGCACGAAGGCCTTAATAATCTGTATTCATAATTAAGTAAATTTTATTAATTATAAATTAATTTTATAGTTTAAACTTTAACATTTTGTGCAGATTTAAAAAAAAATCCAGCTTTTTTCTTTTCTTTTGAAGAAAAGTGTAATAAATTATTTATTGAATATTAATTAGAAACAATAAATTGGAAGTAAAATTTTCCAAGAAATTTTAACTTAATATTTCTTATAAATCTCCAATCTATGTATATTATTTTTTTCTAAACTATTTTCTTGTATTTTTTATCCCAATAAACTATGACTTTTCCAAATTCTTGCTAAAATCAAAAATTTAATTCAGCTGAATTTTCTTTTGAACTTGAAATTATTCATATATCATGTGTATGGCCTATGTTTGAATAATTAATTGAAGAATGTTCAATTTTGCTCCATAATAAAATGAGAAATTCCTCGCCTCTCTCCGAAACAAAAACACCTGCGTGCAAAATTTCGAAATTAGGTTTTACTTAGAAATTTTGAAATTATGGCGGCAGGAATGCGGGCATACCTTGCGCGCATACCTGCCTGCATGCTGACAGGCCGATGTGAAATCTGCACACCCGAGCGCTTGTAATATTCTCTAATATTTGACTGCGAAAGCAAACACTCGCTCGGTGCGCGCAGATTTTATCAGCAGCCCAATTCTGCATTCGCAGCATTATTTCATTATTTGCTCGCTCGCTCGTTCTCTTTTTTTTCAATCGCACCCGCACCTGACGAGCCCCGGCTGGCGTTTTTAATTTCGCCCCGGGGACCGCAGCGCTGATTGGCTCTGTCGGCGAATTTTTTTTTATTCATTTTATACATCCATTATTTTACTTTTGCCAGCTTTCTTTTCATTCACTACTCATGTCTGCCGAATGCACGCCTTTCAGAGTAGGATTATTTGGTCAAAGCCAATAGCATTCGAACACACACAGCCACATACACAAACGTTTATTCTGCCCAACTTGGGTTTCCAATCAGAACCGCCGAGCAAACACCCATCAACAGACCAACACTCGCTCTGTTTGAGCCAAACTCATTTTGGTTAAGCCCGATTTTGGGTGCGAACAAAAACATGAGTTCAAACGAATATTTTGTGGTCTCAAAGGCATTATTTATAAATGTTGAAATAATAAATTGTAAATTTATGAACTGAGAATTTTATAAGGTAAAATATTTTTTCTTTTTTATAAAAATTGATTCACAAAGATCGATTTACTTTGATAAACCTCTATCATTTTTCCTTTTTATAAGAAAATGCATTAATAAAAGGGACTGAACAGTTTCAATAATCGCACAAATTTCATATTTTTTTGAATACATATCAAAATTTTTAACCCAATACGTGAGACAATTATTATTTATTAAAATCTCAATCGCTTAAAGAATACTAGGATGAGGAATTATTAATAGTCTTTTTGACTATTTTTGACCAAAATATGTTTATGAAAGTATAATAAAAAATTCAAATATGTTAATATTATAATAAATTGATAAATTTAAATATTTGAAATATATTGCAGCGTATAAATTTTTCATTTATTTTTATCAAGAAAATAAAAATTTGTTTATAAATTTTTTTTAACAAATTATAAGTCTTTTTTTCTGAATGATGCAAAGAGAAAGCTAATTAGCGCAAAAAATGTTGCGCAAACACATCGATTTTCGCTTTAGTCCCAACTTTCATTGTGCTGCATAATGCCTTTTTGACTAACAACAAAGAGAGACAGGGTCGAGCCGGCGCTACACAAATAGAAGGAGGAGCTCTTCTTCTTCTGAGTGTGTCTTACATTTTAACTTTCCTGTCCTTTTTTGTACGGCGCAGCGGATTTGCATCGCCGTTGTCGCCCCGTGCTGTCCAGTATAATTCTCTCTTCAACTAACGGATTTCTCATCTGTCTTATCTTCTCTCTTCTGTCGTGACACATTCTTCGTCGTGTCACATTTTCCGACCCCAACCACCACACCAATTTACATGTTTGAATATTTGCACGCTTGCTTGCCGCACGAGTAGATTGCTTAAAAAAAAATTGACTCGCATGCCTAAGTGGAAATCCCCTGCCTAATTGACCTTTTCGGTCCCTTTACGTTTTTTTGCAGAGTTGAAAAATTCCATAGAAACGCAAGTAGCGGAGATCAAGACGCAAATTGAAAGTAAATGTGTTCTTCAGTAAATTCAGGCGGCTAGCTGATGCGGTTAACTAAAATTACGAGATATGTTAAAAAACAGTATTAATAACAATTAAAAAGAGAACAGAACTTAGTCAAAACAAAGTAACCCACGATTTAACGAGTAATTTAAAACCAGAAATCGTATGATTCGAGTTTTAGTCAGTGCGAAAACCAAAGAAATGTAAACGTTGTAAAAAGCAAGAGGAATTAAGTGGTTGTCGGACGACGCGAGACGGAAAAGGAGAAGCGCAACTACTTAACTTCCAGCAAACACACGGCAGAATCAAGAGTGATGATAATAATAATAAGTACATAATAACAAACGAAAAAAAACACAGAGCCTGCCACTCGAATCCAAATTCCCGGAGGAAATAACGCATAATGCATTGCTGGAGAATATTTTTGTTGTTGCTCGATCTCTCTCGATTCTAAAATAATTCCGGAGGGAAATTGGATTGGACCGGCCGAGCCGTAGGAGAGAACAAGAAAGTGTGTGTGATGATAACAAAAATAATACAACGCAAACATGATGAGTCCCCCCTTTTATCATTTCTCATGGGCCCAACGTTACGTTATGTATCAAATATATATAAATAATGTTAAAAGCAAGCGAGTACTAAAAGTGTGTCGTAGAAGAGGACAAAATTGTATATATCTGAATGAGGAGAAAATACCATTCCGCACCCAACATGCAAGAGAAGTAAAAGTAGAGCTTTGCAACAGGATGATTAAACAACAAATTTTCCTTTCAATTCGGCAAACGATTGTGCAAATCCGAGAACAATCCCGCTTTATTAAAAATACACATAATTAAAAACCTCACAAGTAAAAACAAGTACGAATCAAAATTCGCCTGATGTGTCAGCAGCAGTATAAAAACACGGAGAAATCGATCCCATTTAAAGAAACGAGAAATTCTTTGTGATGCCAACGTTACTGATAAAAATAATAATATTATAAATATTATTAACAGAGTTAACGACATCAGGAACTGAAAAATATTGCTACAATATTGTAACCCAGGGAACTATTAAATGGGAGTTAAAAAAAAGATGAGAAATTGATTGTTTGAATTTAATACTGAATGTCCTGTGTCATTTTATACCCGCGAATATATTGTTGTAGTCGTTGTAATTAAAGAAGAAAAAAAAATCAATTAAAGATGGATACCTTTTTGTTACTTGTATGATCACATAGACTGAGTCCAAAAGGAGTAAGACAAAACATTACAGAAATAATAGGAGAAAAAATACTTATTTTTTCCACTGTTTTCAATTACATTCAAGGCGATCGAAAGAGACGGTGCGAAATATTAGACGAGCAACAGAAAAATGCTGAATCATTTCGTGTTTGCTAAATCAATGAGTGTGGTATGTGTTTTCAACATGAAAAAAAAATTTACAAAGAAAAAAAGTTCAGCACTTTCGCGTTGCGCGGTACCTAGGTGTTTGATGAGAATTTATACGTCATGCATATGTGTTCTCTCTGTTCTTAATTTGCGTATATAAATATATATTATATTTCTCTCGATGGTTCAAACGTCATGAATTAAGATCATCAATCTTGCTGTGCGTCACTGGGTTTGCATCGAAAACCGACCGACCGGCGAAAGACCGCGGCGGGAATGCGAAGCTCCTCCGCCCCGGGCCTTTCTCCTTTCTCCCCCCAACGTGAAATATTTGGGCAACATGTTAAATAAAAGCGTTTAATATTGAATGTTCTTCTCTTGCATGCTCTTCTCTCTCTCTCTCTATCGCTCTCACTCAAGCAATTAAACTCGCCATAACTCTTTCTATCGCTCCTCTTCTCCGTACTCTATAAAAAAATATATATTACACCTTCCAAGGCAAAGTTGAAAGTTGGATTTTCCTCTGAAAAAACTCTTAAACTTTTTTCATTAGCCGAAAATTTAGCTTCTCCTTTTTTTAACAAAAGTTTCTTCAACTTTCAACTTTCCCCGTCTTGATAATTATCGCTCGCGCAGAGGTGGAAAAGCAGTCCATGATAATTATTGTTCAGTCGAAACAAAACAAGCTCGAGCGCGTCCGGCCATCAGCCGGCCGCTCAGCTGGATATTGGAGAGTCAATTATTTACATACTAATTTAATCAACACCCATATTAAGCCAGAGTTTCGGTCAATATTTGATTAAAAATTAGAGTCTCTCGCGTCAAAGAAAATTTATAATAGAAAGTATAACACATACTCTGTATATCGATCTCTTCGCTTTACCCTCACTTTCACTCTCTCACAACCGAAATCAGTAATCGTCTAACGAGTAAGGAAGAAAGAAAGAAAGAAAAATCAAGTAAAAAATAGTATTTAAGCTACTGGATGTCAATAATATCGAAACTTATACTTTAGCGGCTATAAAAAAAAATAACGATCAGCCTTCACACGTGTGTGAAGTCGCGCCTCTTATTCTCGCTGCTCGATAAAAGTTGAAAGAAAATCCTGCACTTCACTCCTGTTTGTGTGTTCGGAGCAAATTTCGCCTCTTTGCCGAGATCGGCTTTTGTCGCTTTGGAAAAGCCCGTCTGCTTTGTGTACCCGTGGCCAACTATATGTTGCGCAGAGCGAGAGAAAATCGAATTCGACAAAACTGCGACAAACTTGTTCCGTTTTCTTATTTCACTCTGACGTTCTTGCATGAAATTCGTGCTCTCCATCTAAAAATAAAAAATAAATCATCAAAAATGCAAATTTCCCTCTCTTAAAAGGGTTGTTTAGAAAAATTCCAACAAAATTGTATACAATCCTCTGACGAAAACTTGTTTTTAAAAAAAGAACATTTTCAACGTTCCCTTTACTGTTTTCCTTCCGAAATAATACACACTGCTGCAGTTGCGAGAATCGATGTTCATTAATCACGGCTAAAATAAAGAAGTGCGAATCTGTCTGTGTTTCCCTATAGCTGCTCTGGCTGCCTGGCTGCGAGTGTTGTTCGTTCGTTTGTGCGCGTTTTTTCGCCAGGCCGCGCACGCCGCAGCCGTTGTTGACTACATTATTGTTAAAGCATTGCTGTGTCTTTCCCTATCTCTCTGCGGGGCGGAATAAAACACATAATAATTACACAGTGTAAAAAAAACGGAGCGAACACGCGCGTGGTAAAAAATTAACACAAAGTCACACGACCGGGAAAAAAACGTAACAAAAAAATAATGAAGCGCGGTACAAACGATGAGCATGTTAATTAACTAGAGTAACTCACGTTTGGGAGCGACAATATTAAATGAGCTCGAGTGTGACAAAAACTGAACTCACTCGCGCAAATTTTCCACCTTGAAGGACACCGCTGCGCTCCAATTAGAGCTTTGTGATTAAAAAAATTTGGTTGATGTTGACAATTTTCTCTTTTAATAAAAAAGTAATTAAAACATTAATTAAAATGAACTGTGTGTCATTGAAAGGTTGTGTTTTATTTTATCATCAAAGGCAGAACCCTAGTGAGATGCAAATTTAAATTGAAAATTTTTAACTTTTGGAAGTTTTATTTTGGAGTGAAGCAGCTGATTGTCCTTTTATATTGTCCCTCAATCGACGTGTTACTGGAAACAATGAATTTCTTGAGCAGTGTGACTTAATCTGTTATTAAAATCGATTGATAAAGAAAAGAGTGTAGCCGATCGGCCCCGACGTCCCCCCACCGCCGCGTTGAAGTTTTTATGCAGTTTGCCCAATTTTCGGTATGGATAAAAATACACACATAAAAAAGCGTTAGACTGTCAATTTTGAGATGAGATGAATTGTTAGTGATAGTAGAAGTTAAAAAGTGGATAAATATAAATATGAAACATGATTCATATTTAAATCGAGGGTGTTTTGTTGTAAAATTCACACACACACACACACGCATACACACACGCATATATTCATAATAAATGTGTCCTTATTACGAGAAAAAAAGCAGAAGAAAAATGTTTGTGCGAACAAAAGTGTAATTACTGAAAAATCACTCATTATTACTGTTACGGACGAAACTCGCCCACCGGAAATCACTCGCAGAATTCGCTCATCAGCGGAGACTTGTTTGTTATACAGATTTAAAATTAAAAAATATAAAGTGAAAAACTTACAGAACGGTTTCGGAAAGTGAAAATTGTTAATTCAAACGAGAGTGAGGCGAAGATCGAACGATAGCAAATTGTCGGAGATATTCGTTTTCAAGGTGTTCAAAAAACTATGATAAATCCAAAGATTGCAAGTCGTTGGAATTTCGCCTCACTGAATTTTGATTTCCACAAATTGGACAAAATTTAAATGCGTTAAATAAAGCTGCAGCTGCTGATGTCAAACGTGCTTGAGAGAAACTCTTGAAATGTTTGCCTTTTGAAAAGGCAGTTTTTAACTTTTCTCTCATATAATGCTGGCAAAAGTGGAAAATTTGGCCCTATTTGATTGTGAATTTCCTTCAGCTGTAAACTCGATCCCCCTTAAAACCCCTGATAGAGACGCGAAGTTATTTGTTTAAACTGTGTTTTCCGTTTGCTACTCGACACACATCCACACACCCATTTCACTCACACACACAGTGTATATTATTGTATAATGATAAAAAGGAAAATCTATTGTATTGTTATATAAGAACATTCCTGCAGGTTGTCTTCAATAATTAACAGTTCATTTGTTCATTTTGTGTAATTTTCCGCGACACGTGCTCTATATTCACATTCAACGACCGTCACTGCTTCAGTGTTTCTCGCAAGATTTTTGCAAGCGCCCCCGGGGAATATTTCGAACGGCGCGGCGGAGCAGTCGAAAAGAAAACATCTTTTTCATCGCATCTCTCTCGTCAAAAGATGGTTTACTTTAATTGCAAACTCTTTCTCTCCGTCGCGTTAATTCAAAATTCCCCGTCTAATTTGCATTGCAAAATTTGTATGCGCCTCGAGGCAACGCAAACTCTCCGAACTTCCGGTTCGCTGACTTTCCGCGGCCTCGTACATACACTTCCGTTGATTAGTTGGACCGGTCCCCTAAGAACCCCTGTTTCCACGGAGAACTCGCCTGCTGTTTATTAACGACGAGGGCCGGTCGCTGCTTTTGATTTGTGATTTCCAATTAAATGCCTTATTAAATTAAAAGAAACACGAGAGCGAACCTGCTTATCTAAAAAAAGAGATCCATGCGCGAAAAATCGCAGAATATGACATGTAATTATTGTTTGACAACACTGCCAGCTTTGTAATACACATCGAAACTTCAAAATGCATTATGATAGATTATAAAAAAAACGTATATAATTACATTTATATAAGTGATGATGATATGATGAAAATGAAAACTGATATAATAAAAATGAGATAACAGAGTTAGTCCATGTTGTTTCAATAAATTTGCATTCGTAAATTATTTTATTTGCTTTTTTTTGCGTTTCCACCAATATTTATAATTTATGTTGACCTTCTTTTGAGGCCAACCTCATAGCAATACGCTCAGCAATTTTAATATTCACACAAGCAAATTCAAACCCATTTGACGAAAAAATTCCTATCCAGAGTAAATTCATGATGATCAAAGCTGATCAATTTGATATCTGTTTACTAAACACATTTATATCCAGCCAAATGCAAAATTTTTTTGTTTAAACTTAAATTAGGTGTGTGGAAATTGAATATACAAATATTTGCAAATTTGCCTCGCTTTTTATTACTGGTTGGTGATCTCCACATTGGCGTAGTCATCTTCACTGGTGAACAATAAATACAGAAGTAGGAGGAAACAGTTATTGCATTATATACAGTCATTTGTACTAAAATCCTGCGACACAAACAACGATAACAATGGCAAGTGCAGCGTGAGCAAAAATAAATTTAATTTCAAGTAAGTGGTAAGAGGATGGTGTTCTCATTCAGCTGAAAAATAAATATATCCTACTTTACAATCATACAGCACAAATAAATATCGGGCGATAAATAATAATTACAGCAAGTGGGAGCCAAATTAACATAATGAGTAACCCAATCCCTGCAGTTCAATTTTGAGGAAATTTTGAGTGGTTGGTGTGTGTTATTGTCTCAGCCGATTGGGCTGATTTACCGAATTGCTTTTGCTCAGGGGCCACTACTTTGAGATGCAATTCGCTAGCTACCTGGCTTTGAAAGCTTCTCGACTAAATGTTCGAATAAGTACAAAGATATATCGATGGTCACTGGATTTCAAGTGTAGGTGTTTCCAGCCGTCGCCAGCGTCTACTTGGTGGCGCCGACCAGCTTCTGCAGACCTTCTGTGGACATGGACTTGGGACGCTCGATGGGCAGGCCAAGGGCGCGGTCCCAGATGAGAGAAGCGAGCGTGCCGAGAGCACGAGAAACGCCGAACAACACTGTGTAGTAGTTCATTTCCTTCAGGCCATAATACTGAAAACAAAAACAAAAATGTTAGTAAAATTGGAATTTTTTAATCCAAAGTGTGTAATCAAGGATTAAATTTGCAATGTAAAATTAAGTTTTAAATTATTCTTATAAATTAAAAAGTTTTAATTCCAAATTAAAATTAAAAGTTTCTAGAATTTTTAATTTAAAAGCAGCCAAATCTTATTTTTCATACAATAATTATAAACCAAGTCTCTTTCCAATTAAAATTTCTGAACAAAACAACCAAATATTATATTTCAATAAAAATATCTTTAAAATTTGTCAACCAAACAAAGTTCAAAGTTGAACGGAATTAAATATTTTTCCCCCAATTACTAACCTGGAGGATGACGCCAGAGTGGGCATCCACATTGGGCCAGGGGTTCTTGACCTTGCCAGTCTCCATGAGGATGGGTGGCACCAGCTTGTACAGCTGCGACACCAGCTGCAACAAACACAAATCTTGTGACGAATATCAATAGTAAGAGAAAGAGCGTTCAGACCTTGAACATCTTGTCGTCGGGCAAATGCTTCAGGGAGAATTCACGCTGGCATGTGTAGCGGGGATCAGTCTTGCGGAGGACAGCATGACCATATCCAGGCACCACCTGGCCCGACTTGAGAGTCTTCCAGATGAACTCCTTCAGCTTCTCGTCGGAAAGATCACCACCAAGCTCGGCATGAGCCTTGGTCAGGAAAATAAGCACCTAAGAAAGAGTAAAATACTTATTAATTCAATTAGGAAATAAATGATTAAAAAGCAAAATACAAATAATATCTTTTTAAATACAATTATTTTTTTCAATCTTTTCATAATTTCCTTATTGCATTTCCAGTTTTCCAACCCAGTATTATTAGAAATATATGAAATCTTTCAATATTTTTGTATTTTAAATAGATCTTTAAGAAAATTTGGCAAGCAAACTAGCTCACGAGAGAGCAGCCAAGACGAGACCTATCCCATTCCTATCCTGCCATTCGGAATTAAGAATGCATTACAAAACCACAAGACAGAGTTGGCAGCTGACCAAACCAGAGAGCAAATCTTTTATAGTTTAATTTACCTCCTGGTTAGCGAGGCCGTGCAGAGGGCCGGCCAGACCGTTCAGGCCAGCGGCGAATGAGAGGTAGGGGTCGGAGAGGGCAGAGCCCACAAGGTGAACGGTGTGGGCGCTGACGTTGCCACCCTCGTGGTCACTGAAACAATTTTTAATTCAAGTTGCTGCATATCATTACATTAAAATGTGCTTACCTGTGGATGGTCAGGTACAGGCGCATGAGTTCGATGAACTCAGGGTTGTCGTAGCCCAGCATGGTAGAGAAGTTGTAACTCCAGTCCTTGTTGGTGTCGATGGCACCAACTCCCTTTCCGTCGCGGAACATGTTACGGTAAATGGTGGCAGCTACGACGGGCAGCTTGGCAATCAGATCCATGGAATCTTCATAAACGTACTGAAAATAAATTATTATTCAATAATTAGCGTTAAAGGTCAAAAGGATATAAAGAGGGATTGAAATAATGGGAAATATTAGATAAAATTGCATTAAATTAAAAAAAAAAATCAGAAATTTAGATTTTTTTTTCATTTCAAAAAATTTGCTCAAGTTTCAAAATAATCATTGTCAGATTGAACCAGGAATTGAATTTCAATCACTGTCAAAAAAGACTTCATTGGCAAGTGTTTAATAAAATTTCAGCCAACGAGAAAATAGAAAAATTAAATCATCACTGTTTTTCATCCATTCATTAACTTAATTGCTAATAACTAATAAGTCAATCGATGAATTAACATTATACTACATTTTCAATAAAATGTTTTGTTTTTATCTGCAGTGGCAACGAGTTTATCAATCAATTACTAGCACGCCAGAGAGCATCAGTTGAACTTTGTTTAGCACAAGAAAGAGATTCAACAGCCGAGTGTAGAGACACATTAGAGAGGCGGCGTGAAAAGATCAGCTGATGCAGACGGCCGGTGCTAAAATTAGCTGATTTTACCTCCCAATATTTGGCCTTGTGCACACCGTCGGCGTAGGCCTTGGCAAATTTGCTCTCAGAGTTGAGGGCGGTGATGGCGGCGCTGAACTGGGACATTGGGTGCAAGTTGGCGGGGAAGTTGTTCAGCATGGTGACCACGTGGGAGGGCAGGTCAGCGCGGTTTGCCCATTCCTTGGACAAAGCTTTTGCCTGGAAGAAAAAAATACAAAAGAAGAAAATTATAAAATAATTCATTTTGTTTTAAATCTTTCTAAAAACTTTATTTGAAATATTAGTGCAAATAGTTTCTTTATAGCATCATCAAGAAAAGTCTTTCAATGACACACAAAGAGATAAGATATAATTACATAACAACTTGACGTGTAATGTTGACATTTAAACGCAACACATTGTACAATTATTGAAAAAAAAACAATTCTTATTCGATCTTTATTCTTATTGTCAAACTATTGTCAAGTTTAAAAAAAAACAGCAATAATATTTTCATAAAATCCATTTTTGTCTCAAATTATAGAGAAAAAAATTACCTGGCTTTCAGAGGGCACATCGCCAGTGACGAGGAGCCAGAAGAGACCTTCAGGAAGGGGTTCGCTGCCACCTGGAGCCTTGGGCAGCAGCTTTTGGCACTCGGGAATGGAGAATCCTCGGAAACGAATGCCCTCGTCGGGGTCGAGCACGGAGGTCTCAGTGACCAATCCTTTGATGCCACGCATGCCACCATACATCTGCAAATAAACACAAATATTTAATGTTCAGTAAAAAAATTTTGATCAAAATTCTTCTCACCATGTCAACGTTGACTTCTCCGACTTTGGTGGCGCCGTACTGCTTGCGGAAGGCCTTGACCTTTTCCTGCTCAACCGGCACCTTCTTGGTAAGCACATCGCGCAGGTCGGTGTTCTCGGAGAGGTTGCGGACGAAGATGGTGGTAACAGGAGACTAAAAAAAGAGGAATATAAGGGATTATTAAACGTAGAAGAAAAAATATTATTTTTTTTAATCAACTTAAAAAAAAAAAACAATTACGGAAACAAATCTAATTGAAAACTGAATTTATAGAGGGCAGTTTCTGGACAATTATAAATGACGGCAAAAAAAATTAATAATAATAATAATAAAGAAAATCATGCCAAAACATTATTAAATCATCTAAAGTTTAGATAATATTTATATTTGCAATTTAAATTAATTAAATAGCGTTTTGGCTGAAATAGATATCAAACTTTGCTAAAATAAAAAAATAAAAATAAAGAAAACTTAAATTATCCCAATCATATTTTGATAATTATAAAATTTATTCTATCAAAAGATTAATATTATTTATAGTTTTATTCCTTTTATTATTGTTTTCATTTTTAATCCAAGAAAAAAATACCAAAAAATAAATATATATTAGTTGGTTAAATAAATAAAATCAAAGTTTTTGTCTACTCTATGATAAAAAAAATATTTTTCTCTCGAAGGTAATCAACGCGGCATAGCAAACGCGTTTGTTGCACATGTAATACTTTTTAATGAGCGTGAACTCAGCAGAAAATTGCAACCGTCTTACTTAGCTAACGGATCAGTTCAACGCATGCGGCGGTAAAATAATAAAATATATCCATTACTGTTTCTACTTTCTTCAGCAAGGCTGATTGGTAATTCAATTGCGTCGCGAGGAAAAGTTATATTTATTTTATCAGCGCGTCCCGTTGCGCGAGACACGACGAACGCGTTTAACGTCGGCTAGATTATTGAAATGACTTTGGAGTCGTCACTAGGTCGCTACCTTAGGTGACGATGAGGAAGCTACGTGACGTGGAAACTTTCTTGGACTTCCCACAAAACAACATTAAGAGTCTGAACTCAATCCAAACGTTTGCAAAAGTGTCTCTTTTTTCATTCACTATGATCTGTAATGAAAATGAAAAGTAATCTTCATTTTTAAGAATATTTTTTTATAAAATATTTAATAAAAACATTAAAATTGTTTTTTTTTTAACATTAATTAGAAAAAATTAACTTTAAATTTTATAAACAATAAATAAATTATTTGGTTCAGTAAATATAATTTAAAGAATTGGATAGATAATTAAAATTACAAAAATGTAACTTTTAATTTATCTTTGTGGTGAAAAAACAATTTGCTAAACATTTAACCGCAATTTTTCAGCAAAGGAAATGGCAAAACACGTAATTTAACTGGGGAAATACAAAATTAAATCATTAAAAATCTTTGCAGAAAGAAAAAATGTAACAAATATTCAGCAATAAATTAAGTACTGCAAATATTATTGAACATTAAAATTACAAATAAATAAGAAAGAGAGAAATTCTGATTGGAAAAATTGCAATAAAAACTCATTTATTAATGGAAAACAGAAAATAATTACAGATATTTGCAGAGAAAAATCTTAATTTCAATTACAGTGAATATAAATTAATTTTAAAATACAGTCCAGTCGGCTAAAATATTTTCCAATTTTGAGTTTAAAAATTAAAATTAACATTGAAAAGAATTATTGAAATTTTCCATTTCAATAAATAATTACGTTTTAAATTATTTTAAACATAATTTTTGATAATAACTCCGAAGCTATAAAAAGAATTAAAAACTGCCTTCATATTCGGGTCAAATTCTTGCTTATCACAAGAGCCCATATTAGAGCGGCAGTCTGGCAGTCTGACCTATAAATCGCACCTCTCTAAAAAAAATTAAATAAAATATTGCGGAAGCAAATTTATGCACGACCACGGATCATGTAAGAACCTTTCAAATTCATCCGAAATATGAACGAAAAATTCGTCCGACCTCCATTCAGTTTTCAGTCCCATTTTCTCCCCTGACCAACCCTCTCGGAGCAAATTTAAAAAAAAATTCACAGCTGGCCGAGGTTGAAGAAAATTTTATAAGCGTGGCAACGTCTGCGGCTCCGAATTAGCAGCTCGCAAATGCAATGGGTCAACTTGTACTATCTCTGATCTCGGCTGCACAAAATAAAATATTGTCCGCCGAGAGTTGGGTAACGAGCGAAAATTTTCACGCTGCTGCCGCGATAAGAAAAGAGACGTGGGCGGAGTTGGCGGCGCCGATCGGCCGCCGACGACGTTCGGCGCCACTCGGCCCTGCACTCACCAGGTGTGTGCCCGACACTCGGGTCGTCGCCAGTCGGAAAAGGGCCATTTTCGCCGAAAGTTATCACAGGAGTCGGATCCGCGCTGCTCGTCGCTCGCCAACCTACCCTCACAAAAGAACGAAACCGGAAAGAGGCGGCGCGTCACGTGACCCGCCAGCCAACCACGAGCCTGGGTTGGCGCTTCACAGATGGCGTCGCGATTCGCACACCGCACTTGCAGACTTCTTGCGGTAGCTTTTTTATTGAGGCGTTATCAGTTTTTTTTTATCAATAGATTATTTTGATTGTCAAGGTCTGTCTTGGGAAACTAGCGCAGCAATGGATTATCCGGATTAATGTCTTAGGCTGGCAGTATTAATTAAACTTTCATTAATGATTAATTTGATTGTTAAATTATTATAATAACGCCTCGAACTAAAGTGGAAAAAATACATTTTTTTCTGTACGAAAAAAAATTAAAAAAATTTATGAGTTCCGGCGCCCGGTGGATGGATCTCAAGGTATTTAATTTATATATTATATTATTATTTTTTTTTTTTTAATTTAAGATCAATTATCATGGGCTTTTTGGTACGGTTGGAAAAAATATACAAATAATTCTTAATAAATAATAAGTAATAAATTTTGGCGTAAATTCCCATCATTATAATTCATGTACGCATGATTTCCATGATTTACCCTCCATGTGTAGGGGGTAGGGGAGTGAAGCCTTCTTCCTCCGCGCCGCTTGCTCCACTCTTCATCCTCGTCATCGCTACGGTGCAACCTCGCTTGTGGTTCGTCACGGCAATATCGTCTCTCTCTGGACCGGGCGCTATGTGCAGGGCCCCTCTCATGCTCTTCGTCTAGGCCCATTGCCGAAACTTACCCTGCAATCGTGGTACGTCCCCCAACCGACCAAGTGGACCGTAAGTCGAAATTTTTTATATTATATATGAAACAATAAAATCAATTTTATAAAAAATTTCCTAATTAATTTGGTTACACAGCGCGCTGCGCCTTGAAATTCTTTCCAGAATTTCAAGTTTTGGCACTTTTTCTTCGATTAAAAGGCTTCAATTCTTTTAAAAATAACTCTGCTCTGAATTTTTGTAAGCATGATTAGCATATAATTATGTGACATTTGAAATTATAAACGGCTGGTTAATTGTGGCGCGAAATCACTGGAACCGAGCACCGAAGATTCACCCAGTTTGGAAGTTAATCGGTACGGAAATAGTCCAATGTTCTATGAACCCGGTGTTGTTTATTTTTATTTTCCAGCACTATAAACATTTTTGATTCCCCTGATGATCCCATCACCACGGCAGTTGAGGAGGCTGATGAGACCGCGGCTGTTGGACGAACCACTGCAAAAAAAGAGGCGGAAGAAGATGTGAAGTATCTTTGAAAAATATACCCACATTTTGCTATTATTACAAGTGAATTTGTTTTTATTTAGATTCAAACCTGGTGCTGCGATTGCTGAGTTGAGAGTTAAAACGCCAAGGCCTTCAGAGAGTGGAGAAAGCAGTACTGATATGAAGTCACCATTTGGCTCTGGAAGCACGCTGGAGAGCATAAATAGCAGTGCTGCTAATGCTGCATCTCCTTACGCTGATTTGCAAAGGTACAAAACTCTTCCTATAACAAAAACCTTTCATATTTTATATTTTCTTTTGCAATCTTGCAGATGCCAATGACACAAGCAAAGGTGAAGCCAAAACTGAAACTCCACAAGGGTTGAGCTTGGCCTGGTAAAATTAAATTAATCGAATTTTTGTTTATGTTTTTTTTTTTTAAATTTACTTCTTGTTTCACTTGCCTTTAAATGATTATATAGTTTATTTGGTCTTCAAAAAAGTGTTGTTTTGTTTTTATTTTAGACCAAGCAAAGCTCTGGGATGACCCATCCGGCATGGCTCCGATCAATGAAATTGCATTGGTATAAGTACATGTTTTAAAATAAACAAAAAAGGAAATTACAATGTTATTGTTCCAAGGTCCTCGTTGGGAGAAGGATTTTTATGGTTGCGGCATGCGTCTCGTAGTACTGAAGAAAGTCTGCAAGACAGAGAAGCGAGTCTTCGAGGGAGTGTTTCGACTCGCTTACGGAGTGTTGCATTTGATGAGTTCGGCGACAAGGTCTAACAGCAAACAGTTGTGTGTCATCGATCCAGATATTATGGATTTGCTATTTGGTAAGATTTCACATTAACGTCTTCCTTATTAATTATTTAAAAATAAAATTCATTTATAGAATTTGCCAATACAATTGCGGCTGAACTGGGACTTCTGACTAAATGGAACAATTATTGGAGCAGAGGGTCGAAAGATAATTAGCGATCACTGCGCCTATCTACGACGCAGTTATGACAAAGAATTGAAGCTTTCGCATGAAACCTACCTTAAATTGATGCAAGTATTTAAATTTTAAATTTTCAGTGTAACCAACATTTAAAAATTTACAGGAAACAAACTTCGGCTCCTGTTGACCCTTTGCAGTGGCGCCTGAAACGGTCAAGGCTTGTAAATGACCCTATATAGCTTCTGGATTTTCGGAATAGGCTTCGGAAGCTGCAAATTGCAAAAGTAGTGGTGAGTGATTTTTAATTTACCAATTATTACAATTAATTGAAAGTTATTTTCATAGCTTTGCTTTTCTCGCTGCCGATTCCACAAACCAAGTCTGAAAAGCGCTGTTTTTTATAATTGAGGGGGCCTGATTAATAATTATATAGCTCTGCAGTGTGAGGAAAAGAGCTATTGTAGAAAGTCTATATGGTCTATGTGCTGTTGTCTTGCCGCATTTTTCCATAAGTAATGTTGTCTTGCCGCTTTTTTCCATAAATAATCTAAGCTATGCTGCTTTTGTAACTTACATATATTGTGTTTTCAAGATATTTCAATAGACATTTTTTCCACCATTGATCATAATATTTCTTAACCCAGAATAATTCCAAAAAGGAAATTCTCATCTAATTAATTCTAATTTATGACTATGCCATATTTGACCCTAATTACAAGAACTTCTGCGCAGGCATAATCAACACTACATAGCGATTGTGCTTGCTGCCTCCGTCCATTCGTTAATAACTTAGGCAGATTGACTATGTTGGCCACATTTGAGATGAGATTATCCCAAGATCAGGTGGTGTTTAATAATATAGTAAGGCAGTATTTTATGAAATGTCATGAATTATTTTTTCATATTGTAATAGCTGCTGCTTTTGCCCATCACTATATATTATATTTTTCTACAGTTGTCACTTTATCAAACATCAATAATTTTTTTTTATGCACTGTACTGCCTGAGGCGCTGCAGTAAATGTATTGTATAATGAAAGTCAAACGATCAGTTTAGCTCTGACTGCAGATGAAATTGTACGAAAGAGAAGTGTATAATTTTCACAGTAATAAATACCAAATCGAAAATCGAAATAAAATTTATATGATGATTAAAATTGAGAGAATCTCTTTTATGTTTGCCTATTGCATTGTGGATTTATTCAGTTTGGGTTGCAGTGTTGGTGATGCTGGTCCCTATATCGTTGTTTCTGTGCCAATTCTTGGGCCTTTTTTGTTCTCTTGAGCTTAGCAATCCTGGCTGCTGATTGTGGGTTCAAACATTTTAGTCCATGTCGTTTCCACTGTCATTGGGAATTTTTAAAATCAAGGACTAAAAAAATTTATGCCGCAGGACAATTCATAATTTTTGACCTTGGGACTATGATTTCATTCTGTCGTGGGTTCAAACATTTTAGTCCATGTCGTTTCCAGTGTCATTGGGAATTTTTAAAATCAAGGACTAAAAAAAATTATGCCCTCTAGGACAATTCATAATTTTTGACCTTGGGACTCTGATTTCATTCTGTCGTGGGTTCGAACATTGTGTTGAAAATAAAGGGCGGCCATAGGTCTTTAATAACAAATTTATTTGATTTTCTTCAATGCTACATTTCGATCCATTGATTACACGATCCACTGTACTTGAAAAATTAAGCACGCTTTTATTTGTCACTTTGTAGTTTTTGTTATATGCATATTGAAAAATTGTTAATTGTACATAGATCAACAACATAAAAGACGAGATGAAAATCCCAAAAAATTTTGTGGACACAGTAAAACTAATTGCTAATTTACCGCTAGCATAATTACGTGATCAGAGTCATTAGGAACATGTTCAGCTCTGACCTGGCACATACAACTGATCTTCTTTTAACACGGTATAAATGAGAGAGGAAGCAAAAACAAAGCACTTTAATTGTGAGTTTAAGCACCGGGGAGTGAAATGGCTGAGAAAAATTATTTAGGCACGTTTTTTTTTAAACAGAAACGGGAAAACCGGAGAAACTAGAGAGCTGGTTTAAATTATATTTTACAGACAAAAATTATATATGATTTCTGAACAAATAAATTTTGGGTGAACAGTGCATACAACCTGCTTTGATTGATTTGATAACATTTTTCCTGCTAGTCCAACAATTCAACAAAAATATTAATATTCACATATCACAAGGCAGCCTCAAAAACAACAAAATTTAATCCAGTTTTCAAGAAAGAGAGAGACGAATTTTCTTTCGAAACAATGATATTCATATAATAGTAGTAGTAGACACTGTTACACACACAATCGACTGGGTGTCGCAGCACAAAAGTCCATAAGTTTTGCACAAGAGATGATGTTGTTATAACTTCTTATTTACACACTCCCATTTACTCAGGTAGACTAGTTACAGAGTTAATTCAATCAATTAAGACGCGTCGAATTCAGAGCAATTTTTTAGTTTTGTATACCAATAATGAGATTTTTCTCCTCACTCACAATATAAAAGAGAGACTCTGAACAGTTGAGAAATTTGAATCATTTAATCTTCTTCTTAAATTAGCGTGCTTCACGGCTTGTGAAACAATAATTTAAGGCTCTTCAAATAAAAAAAATGGTCTGCGAGAAATAATCTATCACTAGTGATCGTTACCCGCGCTGAATAACAATCGCTAATGGGAGAGGGTTAGTGGGAAAGCTTAGGCAGAAAGGGTCTCTCTGAGGGCGGCCAGTTGTTCCTCGCCGAGACCGATGCGGTCGTCGAGCTCGCGGGCACAAACTTGAAGTGAGGCCTTCATGCAGATGAAGTGCTCAAAGTCCGTGGAGGCGTCCAGGTCAAGGATTCGGGTCAGCATCTTGGCCAGGTGGGCACTGCGCTTGTCAATGCACTCCTTCAAGTACTTGGCCTCGGTCAGCTGAGAGGTCAACTTGTCCCTCTTGGCAAGAAGTGTGTCCTGCTCAAAATTCAGCATTAAATGTTATTCTTTTTAAAAGCAATATTACAATAATATAATAAATTAAAAACAATTTCAAATGTTATTAATAATTTGTAATTAGTCTTGATGAATTAAAATAAACTTGATTCAAATACACAAAATTAATTTCTTGTTAATAATAAAAAAAATGATCAAAAACAGAGGAAAACAACATATTTAACTAAAACTAATTTGATTTGCAATCAGCAATTTTATCTAATTTAATTTATATCATTAAAATGGCAATTTATAAAGTTTGTGGGGAGGGAAATGAAGATAGTTTCAGACTCACTTTTTCTTCACTTTTAGGAACAGTGGTCAGTCCGACCAGGGCGTTCTCCACCCTGGCCAACCTGCCGGACAGCCCAAGCAACAGACTCGTGATCTTGCCGACCTCGTCGACGTGGAGAGCAAGTTTTGCCGCCTCCTGGTGCTTGGCAGCCTCTTTCAGTCGGTCCTGCAACCCAAGGCCCAGCATCTCGTTGATTTTGATCTCCATGGCCACCACAGTCTGCTCCTCTTTCAAGATTTCCAGCTTCTTTGTCAGCCGAGCAACCAATTCCTCCTGAGACAAAAATATAAAATTATTATTGAATACGTACAAATTTTTGAATATCTTAACAACTTAGACGATATCATTCAATTAATTATAATCAATTTAGTTATAAGGAAACTTATAAACAATATTAAAAGAATTGAAAAATTAAGAAGAGTTTTGGGGTTTTGATGACGGAGGAGGAATGGAATTTCCAAAAACCAGTATAACCCTTTTTTGGCTTCAGTCTGAAATGGTGTTTTGCAAATTTGGCCTGCACTTTGTCAAAGATGAAGCTCATTTTGTAGCAATATTCTTAATTTTTTTTATTTACTACTTACAACATTTTATTTAAATGAAGTAGGTTTATTAAAGAATTAAAAAAAAAAGACAAAAGATGTCCAAAATTGTTGACAGAATAAAATTCTTGTCAGTACCTTTTTGTGTTGCAAATCAGGAATGGGTGGGTTGCTGCTGGAAATATCCTTGCTGTACCTGGTGAGGAACATGGCTTTTGGTTCTGAAGTGGTGAAATAGGCAGAGTTGGCCGGAAGAGGCTCTGTGGCACTTCTGAAAATTGATTTATTTCTAGTTACGATGGAATTGATTATTGTCTGCTTACAATTCTGCAGACTTGTTGTGGCCGTTGACCTGGGGAGGTGCTGCAGGTGTAGGACTTGGGGCCTTGGCCAGGGTCTTGGTGGAGGCCCTCGAGGGTGGTCTCATTTGGAACAGACCTTCCACAAACTCAGTCGGCTTAATTTTCTCCACTTGCGGAGCTAAAATTGACATAAATTTGTTAAGTAAATATTCAGAAATGATTCATTTTCGGAAAAAATGAACATGAAAAACAGGAAGCTCTGAAAAGCTACAGAAATTCTTGAATTTTTACCTGTCTTCCCTTTGCCAGCTTGGAAAAATTGATCAAAAATTTTATTTAAAAATCAAGCAAAAATTCAAGACGGTTGAAACGCAGCAACATATTCGCAAATGGCTCGAGACGCACAATCTACTTTTCAAACTCACCCAAAATCTCCTGCAGTCTGTCCGAGGGCGAGAGTTGACTTGCAAGGTCTCGGGTCAACTGGGCGCACTCCTCCTCCTCCCTGAGCGCCGCCTCCGAGGCCAACCGCGAGGAAACGGCGCCACTGGCGAGAGGCTTCTCGTTTGAACTCGGCTCACACCTGCTCAACGGTTATTAACTTTGTGAAACCAGCAAGACGCCAAGCAACGAGATAACAAGTTTAATATATATTATAATTGAAATAAAAATTGAAATTATTAATGAGCAAACTCACGGTGCTTCCGTTCTGCTCGAGAGATCTGTTTGCGAGGAGGCGTCCAGACTGTTGGCTTGAGACTCAAATGAATCAGTCAGCGGCGGTGGCACGGACGGCAGGGGTGGCACCATCGGCTTTAGGCTTCGATTCGCCAAAGGGGCTATAACAGGGCACGGGTCTGAAATGAAAATAGAACATTTTTGGATTAGAACAGATTTTAATAACGTGTAAGAAATAATTGCCAAAATTTTGACTGAAATGTGGTGTATTATAAAATAACAAATAGTTTAATTTTTAATTAAAAAGGCTGATTGTTTTTGAAAATTTGATTAGAGTGATATGAACTTGCTTTGGGAAAGTTTTCATCAAAATCAGTCGAGCAAGTTTTGATTTTTTTAACTGCAAAAGGGACAATGTCAATTTTCAAAAATTCGTTTTTTGAAAGAAGAAAATTTTTCATCTCCTAGGAAATTACGCAAAAAAACAGTTTTTTTTATAAAATTAAAAAAAAAATCCACAGACTTTTTTTGCGACGAGTTCATTTTATTTCTAGGTTCAAATGCTTTAATTATAAAATTCTACCTTTTAAAATAAAAATTCTATAGCTTAGATTTTATGTTCACTTATTAGATTAAAGAAAAAAGTGGATTGATAACAATAAAGTGATTATAAAAATTCCAAATTATCCTCTTTACTGTATGACTTTTGACTTGCTAAGTTTCAATCTGATTTCATTGTAAGCTCTGCACAATGAATTTTTTCAAAGAAAAAATACACATAAAGTTGCAGTGCATGATGCAGATAGCGTGACCAGTGTAATTTACAGCAATTTACTTCCCCTTTGCATCAACCACCGTGAAATTTATTGCTTGTGAAATAAATGGTACCACAAGTCACAAGACATTGGCGACAAAAGCTACAATAAAATATCTCCCCTCCGAATCTAATGCTAGAGAAAATAAAGTAAAAACAAAACAAACGAATATAGATTTAAAAAAAAAAATCAAATCACTGACAATGGATCTTGGCAAATTGTGCCATGTTGAATAAAAAAATAATATGTTTAAAAATAGTTTTTTTTTTGTATTTATTAAAAATTTGCTTAATTTTGAATCCACTGTTTTAAAATTAATAGTGCTTTTTTAAACAGAGATTTTTCTTTAAAAATAAAAACATACCCGAGATAAGGGCAGGTCTGTAGAGGGTTGGTTTTTTCGGGGGCAGGATGAGCCGGTGGTCGTCGTGCTTGTTCTTCTCGAAGAGACCTTTTTTGCCTGGGATGGAGAGCGCCGAGAGTTGTCTGGCGACGCCGTCCAAGCCGCTCTTGACCGAGTTGTTGTTGTTGTTGTGGTTGACGTTGGGACTGTGGTTGTTGTTGTTGTGAAGGGGTTGTTTGTTGGTGAGGGGGCGGAAAATGCGGGGGGCGGAGGAGGCGAGCGAGGGCGCCACCCCCACCGCCACCGACGAGGCGATGCTGGCGCGCGTGGTGGCGTCCAGGGGCGTCGTCACCACCGACGCCTTCACCGGCGTCTCGGGGGTGCGTTTGTACGAACCCTCGATGCTGCACGGCGCGTCCACGTTGCTACGCAGCAGGCCGGCCGACGACGACACCACCGTCGACGGAATGCTCGAAGACTTGCTGTTGCTCCTGCAAACAGAAAAACAACAACAAAATTAATATTGTTCTGAAAGTATAGAAAGAAATTTAACACGGAGTAAGAAACGAAAAAGAATCAAATTAAATTTCAAAGAGCAAAGCAAGAAACTCGGCTTGCGTTTCGTAAAATTATGTGTTAAGGCATCTACTTTTAAAGCTTTTTTCTAGATATTTAAGCACTTCATGCAATGATTTGATTATTTTCGAAATTTTTCGATAAAATAAACCTTTCTAAAAAAATTGCATTTTCTTGTGCTCAATCTGTACTAGTTGTGGCCTCATAATGAAGGTAGATCTTTTCCAAACCTGGTTAGAATTACGATTTTTGTGACAATTTTACAGAAAAAAATGTGAAGTGGTTTTCTCTAGTTCAGTTTTTTTTTTATTAACAATTTGGGCGTCTTTTTTCTTTTTTAATTGATAGAATAAGCTCTCAATTAAATACAATAAAAATACGTTGAAACCATCAGTTCAAATGAGGTAAAATAGGCAGTCACCGGAAGGACGAGACTTCATGCATGCCACAATATAAAAATAAAAAAGAGCATCGACAGAAACCTAATTAAGGCGGCGCTGTTTCATCCGACGTCGAAATGCAATTTTAACAAGAGAAGAAAAGGCAAAGAGACCGGATGCGAATTAAAATTTTCCGCTTAGTTGGACGCACCAAGAATTAATCAAAATTGAAAAGTAAAAGCATACTCAGGAGGATTCGCTCGATTTTTGCATTGTGGGAGAAAACACAAGAGAGGGAAAATGTAAATCAACGCACTAAAAGAAAGCGAGTCTCGTTATGCAGAAAATTGCATCAGGCAATTACCATTAATGAGGAGATATAATAAGCAAATTAAAATTAATTTATAAATTCATAAACTATATCTTCAAAAACGGATAAATAAAATTTTTTACTATAAATTTTGTATATTTAAAAATACAATAATTTTTCATCCATTAAACTATTCTATTTTGATAAAAAATATTTTCTATTTTAAACATGATTACTTTAATTTTTGTCTTACTTAGTAAATTAAAACATTTTTTCAACCAGTTTTAATTCATTCAAATTTTGCTTCCATCAAATTTATTTCAATTTTATTATTTTATGTAAACAATGCACCCGAAAACGGGTCAACTGAAACCGAAATCAGAGCGAATTGTTTTCCTTCAACGCCATCTCATCTGTCTTGAGCGAGTTTCTCTAAAATTAACTGCAATACTTTTTATGTATTCAAATTCACGCTCTTTCGCTCGTTGTGCTCCGGCGAGAGATGCGGATTAGACTCGAAAATTATACGCGCCGGCAAATTAAGGTCAATTACCAGAGGTCGCACACAATGCAAACGCGAGTTCCATTTACAAATAAAAACAACAAGTCGCTTTTTTGCGGCACAACACACGCGACCCGAGACAGTTATATCTTCCCAGAGCGGCGACGAACAGGTGCAGAGCTTTATTTAACCTTAACAAGGTCGGACTTTTTTCCAGTTTTAATATTATGAGTCAGTGACACCAGGATATTTCGCAAGAAATACAAAATTCTCAGCCTATTTATTATTATTATTTTTTTTTAATATTCGAAACGCTTAATAAATTTGGCTAATCGTGACGAGAGCATCTCCTTTTTTATTAATTCTAGAATTAATTAATATAGACTTCTTTTAACCTACTAATTCGCAAACGGTCTTAAATGTCGATTTCAGGGTACTTTGCAAACACCTTCGGGGCTCGCAAGACCGTATAATTAGAAAGTGGTCTAGTTCGGTGTCAAATGCCGTATAATTTTGAGTCTTCATTACTTGAAACGTCAATCGGTCCAGCTGTAATGGGATCTTCACTTTACGGCTTATTTTTATTTCAAAGCTCAAGAGCAGCTGGCGTTATACTTTTGAGAGAGGAGAGATTAGATCTGATCAGAATCTCATCCGGAAGAAAGAGATAAAAATCTCTTCTTCTGCAATAAAATATAAATAAGATAAAATTCTAAGATCCAGACTTTTTTTAATATTTTCATAAAATTGTTTAAATAGATTTTATTTTTGGGGAAAAAATTTAAAATTAGTAAACAATTAAAAAAAGCCTGTAAAATGATTTAATTCAAAATTAAATCTGTAATTCCAAAAGTGAAAAAGGTTAAGATTGATTAATAAAAATTGAAGTCTGCTAAATAAAGATCAGTTTCGTTTAAACGAGATAAAATTTGACTAGAACAAAAAATATTTTGAAAACAAAACTATTATTATTTACTTTTTCAAATTTCACAATTGATAGTTTTATTAAAATTAAAAATTCTAAATAAAATTGCAACTCATCTTTCACCTATTCCCTGAATAACGCAAAGAATTTCTCTCCCGAGGTCTCTCATTAGAAAAATAAGCATTGAACTTGGTGTTTGTAGTTTGTAATGAGAGATGCATTCTCTTTCCTTTCTTTCTCTCGCTCGTCTCGCGTGGCGCGCATCATTATCATTTTGTTATATTATTATTCCCCACGTAAGTATGTGAATAACCCGGTGCATTACACGCACCGCTTTGTGAGCAATGCGGGTCGTACCGACGAGGAGAAATCACACATCACACGATTGTCTGCAGCCACTTTGTCGTTACACGCATTTGTGCAGCCAGTATAATTATGGAATTTATACTTTTGCAGTGCCGGCTGATTAACAAAGGGGTTATTTCCAGATAAATATTCAAATTTGACACAGTTTCAAAGCTGAGGGGTTGATAAAAATAATAATAAAGTGTTGCAAAAATCAAGAATAATTCAATATTCTCAATTATTGTGATTCATTTTTTAGTTTAACGGGAAAGCCATTCATAAAAACAATAATTTTTCTTAAATTTATTATTAATGATTTCTAATATTTATTAAATTGTATTAAATTTAAATATGTTTAGAAATAAATTAATAAAATTATTGTTCAAAATCTGCAATGATTTTTTCTTTAGAGAAAATTATTTTGAAAGTTGTTTTGAAATAAATTGCCGCCATTTATTTATAATAAACGCAAGAAAACGATGCTGCACCGACCGCATTGGTGAACAAATTTCAATAACAACGCACTGAAATCAGACACCGAGTCATTGTTTGACAAAATGGAATTGAACCTGCTAGAGGTGCCCCTAGGGTGCCTGGATCAAATCTGGTGACTTGCGGTCGGATGCGTATACGAATTAAATCGAAAGTCATAAATGTCGGTCTAAATATCTCCCGAGTGAAACTTTTCATCCAGATGAATAAAATTATTTGAATATTGAATGCTGTAAAGGAAGTGTTCTGATTTTTTGTAAATTTTAATTATTCAAAAAATTAAATAAATTTTTATTTAAAATATGATAAATCAGTATTTCTTCAATCAACTCGAGTTCATTGAACCATGACCAAAAAATTACAAATTCAGGAGAGTCTGCGTCTCTCTGTACAAGAATTCGAAGGTCATTCTAGTGTCAATTTTGAGGTCAAAAGACCCATTTTCCTAACGAGATGGAGCGAATATTTCACCTGCCAGTGTTATAAAATTCTTTTCTTTAGCACGACGCGTCGAAGAAAAGGCAACGACCAGCAAAACTGCAGCTCACGCAATGCCGAAAATCTGTGATCCGAGAATATAATAGCAGGATACAACACGGTACTTGTATCGCGGGCGAGCGAGTCAAAAATCCGAGCCGCGCCGCCTGCGCCGAAATGCCCTTTTTTATATAAATCATCACGCCGCTAATTGGCTCTAAATTACGACGACCTTAAATTGCGCAATTAAATACAAACTGCTGCAAAAATTAATATTTCTTGCAAAATCGATATTGGATTCGGGTCGGCGACACAAATTTCAAGCAGTGAAAGAAATAGCTTTTTACGATATTATATTCCGCGTGTTTGCCAATGCGTGGAAAGTTTTCTACCAACTCGTCTTCAACATCCTCTTTGGCAGTCTCTCCGTTTGCCACTTTAAAAATGAAACAACTTCTGCTCGCCGGAGCTATTAAATGTTCAAGCATCCTTTCGTTTATCTTCCATTTATTTGGAGTGACGAAATCTTTAGATTTATTTTAATTCACTCTAAAATTCATTTTTATGAAAGTTGTTTCAAAATCTGGGAATAAAATCATACTCTCTTAGCTTTTTCATTCTAAATAATAATTTTTATGCATTTTTTGCGGAATTTTTATATTGTTTTTGTCTGAGAAAATTAAGACTCTAGGAAAGAAATTATAATTCTAGTTTTAATTTATCTTCATTTGAATTTGACAATTTTTTAATTTCATTTTATGGCGTAACAAAATATTTAGAAGATCTATAAAATTTATTACAAAATCTGCGCAAGAAATGTGAAAATAAGAATAAATAGCCGCACGAAAACCTTTTCCCGACACTTCGCAGAGATTTTTTTTTATTTTTTAATCCGGTTCCTCGTAAATTTTGGGCTTTCTTTCTTTCTTTCCGCGACAGGATTTTCATTTCTGTCACGACTTTTTTATTATTATTTTCAGGTTCTCGCGAAAGGTTACTAGCCGAGGTGCATTATTGTCGGAGAGGATTATTTTATTATCATTGCGGCGCGTGTAAATTTGAGGCATTTGCATGAAAATGCCAGCAAGGAAAAAACGTGCTTGTCCACCAAAAGCAGAATCAAAGAAACGAAACTTTCTCTCTCGTCGCATCGCCGTTTCTCGTTCGTCGTAAAAATTGTTGTCTGTTCTTGCTTAAGAGAAAATGACATTCAATTTAGAAATATATCCAGCAGAATTTATCAAATCAAAAAGCGGGGAAAAACGTAAAAAAAAATACATTAAATTTAAGATATTCCGTGCTATTCAAATTTTTATTATAACTTTTTCATACATTACCCAAATCTAATTAGCTTTGAAATAATAATACTTTGTAATTTTATTAAAAAAACAAACTTTTTATTATATAAATAATAATTATTAATATAAATTTAATTAATTATATTCAATATCTTTATGAACAAATTTTAATGTTTTCTTGTATAGAAAAATTGCCCCTGATTTTTTTATTTTTAATTTTCATAATTATTTTCTTCAATTGAGTAATTTATCATTCAGTTTATCTGAATTAACAAAATTAATAATTTAATCTGCATAATTTAATTTTTAATTTAATAAAAAAATTTAAGCTTTGTCGATTTAAATTTGTTAACAAAATGATTCTATGATCATTGATGCCATTCCTGTTCGTTTTGTAAGAATGAAGCTTGCTTTTTTTATCAATAATTTTTTCCTCAAATCGTGATTTTGAAGCAACTAATTAAGAGACAATTTAAAATTTCACAACTCTTTTCCCTTACTCGGAAAGCAAGAAAGTTTAGAAACATCTCATGTAATAGTTTAAAATCTTCATAGCCGGCGGCTGCAGCTCGTTGTCATTTGCCGAGAAAGGATTAATTATTCGTGAAATCAGTGCAGGCCGCGAAACACACCTGGCGGAATTCCTCTCTCATTAATTTGACTCGCGGTTTTCGGACCAATTTAATTACAGCGCAATTATCCTAATTCACCTCGTGGCTCGCAGCGAAAATGTTGAAAAAAAAGAAAGATGCCAGACTCTTTTATGACGAGAAGTAAAACCAGTTTTTTTTAGACCAATTTATAATATTAATTCTAGGATTAGTGAAATCAAGAGCGATTGACCTTTCGAGTCTTAGCATTTTTTGCCTCTGATCAAACAGAACTTTGCGTTCTTTATTTTTGGCGTGTCATCCGCGACTCGTGTTGTCACGATTACGCTCGGCGCAAACAAAGAGCCGTGGAGCGTGAGTCACAAGAAGACAAATTTTACATCATCCAAGCCTAACAGACGAGAGAGAAAATCCGCCGGCTCGCTCCGGCTCATCAGTTTTCCAGCGTAATTAAGAAAATACCTGAACTGGATAATTTCGTTAAGTATTTAGAAAAGTCGAAAGTGAAAGCAAATTAAAAGTAAGTTCATTTATAATAATCTTTACGAAATTAAAATAATTTCAATATAATTTGAAACACGTACAATTATTAAAAAATTCATTTAATTTGTAAAAAAAAGAGAGGATTAATTTTACTATTTTGTTGATTAACACACTTACAATTTGGTTTAAAAAAGCAAACTTTTTTTGTTTGAAAATATTTCAATTCAAAAATTTCATTAAATTTGAAAATAAAACTTTTGAGCAATTTAAAATGGATTATTTAATTTCTCTATCATAATATTGAACTTCGAATCAAATCTGTGATTAACGTTTTGAGGTTTGCGGTATTTATTTTCTGATTTGCGACAGCGAGCAAACATCGTTTTAGTGACAAAAACAGGCCGAAACTTTTAACTTTTTTGCGACTTTTCCCGTTTTCGGCACGCATGATTTGCTTTCTTTCCTGTCGCGTGTTTTTGTCCACCTCTTATCGCACACCGAAATCACACGCTTTCTTTAATTCTCTCCTGCAGTTGTGCAGATTGTTTAACATGGCATTTGTAGCCCCGCTCGCTGCTCTTATCAACCGCGAGTTATTTTGCACCTCTTCGGCCCGACCTTGCCAAAAAGAGCAAACGTTTGTTCGCCGCGCGCGTCTGTTTGTCGGACAGCAGGTGCAAAAACGCCGGATTAGCCGAGCCGATAACAATCCGCTCTCGTGATATATTGCACCAACTTTTGGATTAATACGACGACTATAATAAATATATTAAAGGGTGAGTAAGATAAATTTGCAGCAAAAGCAAAAAATAAATTAAGATATAAAATTAATTATTAATCTATATGATTTCAATTAAAAAATTTCTCTTAAATTTATTTTTACTGTTCCTTTGTCAATTTAATTTAAAAAAGAGTCAAATAAATCCGATGAAAATGAACTTTAAATTCCATTTTAACCGCAAAAATTTACACAAATTAAAAAAATTACTAAATTTTCTATTTATAGAGTACAAAAATAATAGGAATTTGATTGAGAACCGCCACGTTTCTTTCTATCAATGAGGCAATAAACGTCTCCAGGGCGTGATGAACTGTCATAAATTCCGATCCGTTCGAAATCTCCACGCGATCGAGCGAAAATTTCACAATTTTTAAAGAAATTAATTTCTTTCTTTTTACCTTAAACGGAACTTCGTGCTCTGTCCGAACACCATGGTGTGTCAATTGAGTGTCCAAGTTTGAAGCACAAAAGTTTGCGGTACCACTAGAATAAGCAGTGCCGCAAGGTACACTTTGGGGACATGGCCGCGTGACGAACTGTTCGAAAATGACGAACCGAGTCGATCGCGCCAACTAACAGAACTGACTGCGGTGCGAGGAATAAAAGTCGCGCTTTGTTCTAACTTTTTGCTCATGAGCGAGTGTGGTGGGAGGACGACGGTGTTTCTCCTGATGGTGCTCAGCTCAGCCACCTCGCAGGCGTTATTTACAATCAGCACCAGTGGCGTAGTCGGAAGAAATTAATTATTAAATTTATTATAATAAGTGAATTTATAAATAAATTCACTACAGTGAATTGGTTAATTACATTTTAAAGATTTCAAGAAAGGAAAATTTTATGGTACAATTTTAAAATTTGGTCCATATATCTTATTAAATTTGTGATATAAATTTTTTAATTAATAAAAATTAGAAATAATTATTTCCTTTAATATTAGGAAATAAAATTTACTTTTGGAAAATGAACCAATTGATTTACAAAAAAAATTTGTTAAGGAACGCCCCTGCTTTTTCTATGATTTACAATTTGATATCGCTCATTTCATGCTAGCCTGAGAATTCATGTGCATTACGAGAACATGTACGGACTGGAAAATCTTTAGCAGAAAAATTTAATTTTGATTTAATTACAAATACAATTTAAATTTCTATCTGAAACTGATGAATAAAAATCTTTTATTAAATATTGATTAATTATCTCATTTTTTGCGGTGTTTTTTTTATTAAAATTTTCACTCGTTTAAATGAAGCTTTTTTATGAATTTACTTCTTGAAAAAAATTTATTTATTTATTTTTCCATTTAATCTTATAATAATGAAAACCTGCTTTTTCCTGCGACGCAGTCCGACCCTGCTCACGCCCGATAAGGATCAACCGCCACGAAATTTGAGCAGCTCAAAAGAGAGAAAAATAAAGGCTGGCCAGCAAAATTCAAGTGACCTCACCCAGAATTGCACGTGCAGATTGCGATCGCGGCGTTGGGCAAAAAAAGAACGTGCCGTGAAATTGAATTGCACTCGAACACAATTCGCTTCCTGATGAAAGCGAAATTAGAATTTGCGCATTTAATTATCAGCAGAGTACAAATGGTGAGTGTTAAATGTTAGAGAAGGTAAAACTCCGCAAATTGCGCAACAACAGCAAGGTGCACCTTCACCCTTTGCATATCAATAAGTATTTAGTATTTTTACTTTGGCTTGAAAGAAGAGTATGTAATTTGCAAATTATATAAGAATAATAGAATTTGATGCTTTTTACTTCTTTTTTAAATTTGCATTACCACAATATAATATTAAAATTTTCTAACTTCCATTAACTTCCATTTGAAAATTTAAAATTTTATGAAATTCTCTAACTAAGAGAAGAAAATATTATATTAGAATATTAATAAAAATTCAAGTGATATTGTCAAGGGTAATGGTTAGAATTCTCTCATATTCTAAATTTTAAATTATTTAATAAATTTTTAAAAACATTGTCATCCTTAAAAATTATCAAAATACAGCAAAAAACTGTTACAATTCAACATTTACCTCCCAAAATTTTTGTTAATATAAATTCGGATAAATAAAGATAAATAAGTTATTTAAAATAAGAATTATAAATTTCTGACTCACCCTTCGGTGCAGACATTTTCAATGTCAACAGGCGGTGGTGGCAGTGGCTCATCACTGTGGAAGACATCATTATCCAAATTTGGCGGGGGCGGCGTCGGAGGCGGCGGAGGCTCCGGACTGGAGGTGCACCTTTTCAACAGGTGGGGCGGTTGCAGTGCTGAGGAGGAGGAGGAGGACCTGCCGGAGGGGATGTTGGCCCTCAGGTGGGGCTTCTTCGGGGGCCGCTCGGGCACCCACTCGTCCAGCAGAATGGGCGAGCCCAGGATGAGGGGGCCGAGCAGGTCAGCAGAGGTGTCTGTGGGCGAGGGCAGCTTCTTGGGCTTCATGTGATGGGGGCTCAGGTGCAGGGCGTCTCCCGAGGAGATGCTGCTTGAACTGCTGTGGCTCTGCCGGCGAAGACTGCCCTCCGAGTGGGGCGACAGGGACACTGGTTTGGCCAGGTACGACGGCTCAGGGTCACTCAGGTGCCACTCAAAATCAATCTGGCATGGCAAAATTCATATAAATAATCATAGGCAAAGAAATTATTTATATTTAAAAACAAAAATTAAGAATAGTACAGAGTTTTAAATAAAATCAAAATTTGATTTTTGACTGAAAAAGATTAAAAATATCAAAGATTTAGGTTTTGCTTGAATTAAAATAATTTAAAATTTGATTTAAAATATTTCACTGGAATTTAGAGTGGATTTTTTTAGAAATTCGTTAAAATTTTAAATTTAATATTAAATTTTTTTGTTTTAAATTTCTCTAATCTGAAGAGATTTATTAAAAGTTTTATTTTCAGTGTAAAATTTGTGAATACCTGTTCAGCTCTTCGATTGTAAGCCTCAACAGCCGCTGACCTCGGAGGCGCAGGTGGAGGAGCAAGGTAGGGCTCGGACTTCCAGGCGCTGCTCTTCTGCTGGTGTTGTCTCTCGTAGAAACTGAGCAGAGCCTGTTTCTGGACGGCTTTCAAATTGGACGAGTCGAAGGATCCCTGCGCCGAGGGTTTCAGTCTCGGCTGGACCTTTGGAGGCGCCAGCGCGGTGGTGGAGGAGGAAAATGATTGGCGTTCCAACTCATTGATCCTCTCGGCCACTGTGAAGTTGTGAAGGGCGGAATTTCTGAAAAATAGAAAATTTTAATTAAAGAACAATTCAAGTAAAAAAAAAAATCTGTGACTATTATGCAATTATAAAAATTTCATTACATAGTTGGAAATTTATATATATATATATATATATATATATATATATATATATATATATATATATATATATATATATATATATATATATATATATATATATATATATAAAAAAACAATAACTTTAAGGAGAACTACAAAAAGTAATATGATTAAAAATTCATCCTTTTTTATGGGAATGGTTATTTTAAATTTGGCTCCTTTTTTTATTAAATTCTATTTTATTCCATGACAATGTAGAGCATATTTTTCACTGAAATTATTATATTTTTACCTGATATTTCCAACAGACTGGTTGTAACTTCTATTTGCTCTGAGCCAAGACGCCGAGGCGTTGGCTTGACTTGGCGGTTGGTTGTGCTGAGAGGACAGAATGAGCACACTCTCGGACATGTGCCTCTGCGGAGTCTGCACCTTGGAGCTGTGCGCGATCAGCTGCCGAGTGTTCAAGGCTGTGGGAATAAATGTGACTATTGTGAGTCGATGGCCAAAAGTTCCCACAGATTATTTGGATGATCATCACAAAAGAGGTCTTTTGACTCAAAATGAGCGTAATAGATTTTCTGGGAACACGCGGCTTCTTAGTTGCAAAACTTTCTCTCAATTGCATTCAAAACGAAGACATAACAATAACATCCTCTCTGATCCGATTAAAGATTGCAACATTGAGAGGCAAAAAGTATTATAAATATTATGGAATATCTCAAAGTAATGAAAATTCAGTATTAAAAAATAAGTTAATATAAAAACTTCAAGGTAAGTATCATGTTTTTCATATAATTTAAATAAAATTAGGACCAAAGAAAAACTTTGAAGTAACTTTTAGAGACTTTAAAAGTTATTTTTTCTTTTAAATTTCAACTTACAAGAGAGTCCAACAGAGCTGGAGGTGACGCTCATGTCACTCAGGGAGCCTCTCCACCTGAGATCGCCAGCAGAAACGGAAGGGCCCATCATGCTGGCCGCCTCATCCTCGTCCCAAGCCAATCCACTGCTGGCCACGCTGGCCTGGTGGTGATGGTGATGGCCGTGGCCACCTTGGCTGTCCTGGCGCAACCTGAATGCAAAAATACTATAATTAGTGAAATTTATATCAATATTCAGATATTTTCACAACAATAATTTCAATTTTCAAAAATTAGTTTTCCTGAATCATAAATTTTTGTTATAAATGTTTTCCTGACAAATAATTGATGGCTATAAAGAAAATTATCAATAAAATGAATACATTATTTGCATTTTCCTGAGCAAAAACCTATTTTCATTTCTATTTTTTTTAATTATTTATTAATTCCATTGTTGTATTAAACAATTACTTTAAACATTAATTAAATCATAATGAATCAGGCCTTCTTTTAGTAGAAACCCCACTTTTGAATAAAAATAAAAAATGCACCTGTCCAGGAAGGGTGTGTTTGTGGAGTCTGTGCTTGAGACATAGCTGTGGTAGCCCTCGGACTGGGCGTAGCTGCCCTGGGACTGGTGCACCGGACCTGTGCAGCAGCCGAAGAGTTCCGCAGATTGCTGTCTGAGGAGGGCGGCATCGTAAGTCCTGGCGTACTCCTCGACCTCCGCCTGAGTCAAAAGTGGCACCTGAAAATTCGCGTTTAAGAAAATAAAACAACAAAATTTACATTCTAAAGAAAAGGTACCTGTGAATCTGTTTTTTGAACGGAGGCGTCTCTCTCAGGTGGCGAGGGTGCCAGGTACCTCAGGTCGCCGATGGCTTGGCCCTCCCTGTCGAGTGTGGGCAGCGACCTGAGGTGCGGCTGCTCAGGTGGAGGCGGTTCCGCAAACATCAAGGCCGCTTCTGACCTTTCGAGGACCGTCTTCAGGGTGATACCTGAGGACGCCTGCCTCCTCAGGTACGGACGAGAGTAATAAGGGCCGTTCGACTCCTTCGGGTAGTCCGTCTGCTCCGTCCAAGACTTGGACCTGAGAATTTGAAATTTATAAAAATAAAATTAAAAATTGTGGAAGAGAAAATTTTTTTCATGCTGGGAAATTGGACTGACAAAAAAAATATTTAATAATTGACTATTTTTTGTCTATTTGCAATAAATTTTGACAATTCTTTTCCAGGTCATAGGAAAAATATTTTGCCTCATTACTTTTTTTTTTTTTTTTTTTTGATATAATTTAATTTTTTTACTGAAATATCTTTTCCTCTTTGCTAAAAAAACAAATCTTATTGCAAAAAGGGTGGAGGAATTACCTGTGAGAGCCTCCGGTGTTGTGGCAGCACTGCTTGACGGCGGGCAGTTGGTCAGCGGCGGCGGGCACCGGCCAAGAGGGAAACTTCTCGTGGCCCGGGCCGTATCTGAGGGCCTTGAGACTGCTGGCATCTCGCACTGGCGGGGTCGGCGCTTGCTCCCACCCTGAGGCAAAGCAACCTTTCAGAGGCACTTCTTTCTTTTTTATTTCCACTCGGCTCTCTCGGTGTAATAATAACCGTCGGCAGAGCAAGCGAGCGAGCGAGCGAAAAAGCAAAAGAGAGTGAGATCACGGTTGGAATGATTGTGCTGTTTTGCCACCCTTGGCCCATGAAAGAGCCAATTTGGAATAATGGCTTTGCTTGTGTATTAAAAGCAGTAGTAGAAGAAGAAGTGCCTTATCTAAGAATCGCATTTGTTGGCAGAAAAGGAAACGAATTTCAAGAAAAGTGCAAGTGAAGAACATTTAATTGCGACTTCCTTTTGTTGTTGCCAAAATTACAAGTTTTAAAAATAAGTTTTTTTACTCCATTGAAGGATAACGCCTTTGTGGCCTATTTTAATTACTTGTGCAGAGCCTTGAGTTGTTACTGCCCTTTATTCCCGCCAGTTTTCTGCATCGACAAAAAAAAACGCGAAATTCCATCGTTTCGCAGGGCGGAGGAATTTGCACACTCAGCCTTCACGGCGCGTCAGAATAAATTAGCCGGACGTGTCGCGCGCAAATGTGTCAATCAAGAAATTTCATTTCGGCCGATTTATACAGACGCGTGCTGACAGCTCCTCTTGTACATAATACAACGAAAAATAAACTATAATATAATGAATTCAAACTCTTTATTCGAACGTGGAAAACCTTGGTCCGCCAAAATCGTAATTGGCTCTTTCGGTCCGTGATTTGCACTTTTTGAAAATTGAGTTTCGCCGGGAACAAAAGTGGCTTTCAAAATAAGAAGGTTCTTGATTAGATTTATTTTCAGTGGAAATGTGAATTTATACGAAAATCCAAAAGATAAAAAACAACAGTGATACTGTTAGTTAGCTCGATTGAAATCAAAGAAACGCTAGATAAGCAGAAAAAATAGGACGCACCATTGATAAAGTTCCTATGAATGGCACTGCTCTGCGTTTTGTGTGTCCACTTGAGTAAGCAGCTTTCGATTTGCTCAGCACGAAAGGATAGATCAACGAGCTAGGCTCGGTTATTCTCGCGAAATTGCAAACTATTGTCCTTTTTTCAGATATTATTATAGGAGTCGAGTTTCTTCGCACGTTTTTGTTGAAATTTATTATTGTTGAGAAAGAGACCGCACAGGTTGAAACGTATAATTCAAAGCGCGAACGCGGGGAAGCCAAAAACAAACGCACTTTTACGCACGCTGATTTTACAGAGACCAACAAAGGAATAAAAGGAGACGCTGCGTTTGTTCTTTCACTCATCAGAAGAAATACGCAGAAGGAGCCATCCATCCGCAGATTACCAAAACAAAAACAGAATAAAAACTTTTAAAAGTAAAGTTGAATGGCCAAATTTTACAGAAAGAATATATCTTATTAATTTTAGACATTTCTAATTTTTAAATATTTCATTAAAATTCAAATAGAATGTCGTTTATATTCGCTCTGTTCATTAATTATACAAGAATTACATTTTTAGTCAAAATTAACACAGCTAAATTTAATTTTTATTTCCGGACAAAGCAGAAATATAATAATTTTCAAGTTAAAATTTTGAAATTGAATAATTTTCAACATTAATTTGTACATTTACCTGAAATTTATAAAAATTAGGATAATCCACAGTAATATGAAATATAATTTTCAGGTGAAAGGATTTTCCGAGGGAAACAGAGCGTGGTGTGAATAAATGGGCACACAATCACGTTTGTCGCCCTGTTATTTTTTCCCGGGAGCAATTATAATTATGAATCTCTCCATAAAAAAAATGCGTGCGTGAATTTGATATTGTGCGTTGAAAACAATTCTCACGCGTCAGCATTGTGTCGGCCGCGTGCGGTGATTTGCACGCGTCCAAATTCCTTTCATCAACACTCCCACACACGAGCCCATCATAATTTTATTGCTGTTTCCGATTTTGTCCGGGCTATGGCTGCGTTTTTTTGTCAGGAAATGGAACACTTTTATATTTCTATTCAGAAAACTGCGCAGAAAGAAAAAATTGAAAAGTTGACTGAAAAGATCTCAAAATTTAAAATCAGCCTCTCAAAATATTTTACAAATTTTTTTCTGATCATTGAAAATAAAACAATCAGGATGCTTTTAAATTATTTGAAGTTGGAGCCTTCTATAACATTTTATAAATCAATAAAAATTAAACTTTTCTGGAAGTTCATTATCAATTTTGTACGCAATTTTTTTTACTCTGTTGACGTTTAAGAATGATTTTTATTGATTGCTGTGTTTGTTTCAAACGCAATGTGAAAAATAGCAACGTCAGTAAAATTGTGCTTGTTCTTGAAAGCGAGCTCAACTGACTCTCGGTCGGTGTTATGAATAATAGGAACTGTGCCAGGGACTTGTTATCCGCCCTCAGACTTCTCTCTTTCTTTCTTTATTTCGTTCACAATTTATTTCCCCGTTCTTCCTTTCTCCGTCTCTAACTAACTCCGGCAACAATAATAATATAATTTAATGCGATCCGTGTTTGCATTCGTGCGGTGTAAAATAAATATATATAAATAAAACACGTCTAACACATCGAGAGCACTTAATTCTTATATATCGAGGAGGGACGAAGCAAGAAAGATGTGTTGCTCAACAATTATATTACTGGCGGCCAGTAATTTACTGCGCTCTAGGGAATTTCACACTTCTTTTCCGTGCACACGTTTCGAGCCTGCACAATATGCCAATCACTCTAATGAGAGAACGCGTCAGATTAATCCGAGATTGACGCCGGTCGATTGCAAAGTTGCGTAATGATTCGGACGGAGAGTGGATTGTTCCCGAGGTTGCTTTCAAAGATACCATTTTTTATGGAGTTTCTCTTCAATATTTCATTTTCAAAAAGAGAAGATCCAAAATTTTAAAAATATTTGAAAATTTGCAAATTAATTATATAAAAAAATGCTTATAATCTAGAGTAAATCTATGTAAAAAATAATACAAATGTATGTACCAAGCTCCAAATTTAAAATTTTTAAAATTTCAAAAAAGTTTTATTTCGAAATTGAATTAATTCAAAAAGATTTAATTTTTGAAAGAAATTTGTAATTTCGTAGATTTAAAAAAAAATTGTGATCAAATTATCCTAGATTTTAGATTAATATTATTTAATAATATTTCTGAATGAATTTGCAATTTTCAAAATTGCAAATTTTGTTTGAAAAATTTCATTCATAATCAGTATTTTTTTGTGTATTTCTTTTTGTTCTTCAAATTCCAATTTATAACTCTAGAAAATAACAATAAAATCTGATTTTTATCCAAATTTCCATTTGTATTCAACAAAACTTGTACTTTCGTCTTTTGAATACCATTTTAGAGAAAAATCAGCACAATCGAAATTCAAACCTGTCGAGATCTCACTCTAATTTAAAGTTAATGATTTCTGATAAACTTACCAGCTTTGGAAGCGTCCTGGATGCTGCCCCAGCTGCTGAGTCCCGACGACGACGAGGCCAACAAGGAGCCGACCGAGTCTGAGCGGCTCGGCGGAGGCGGCAAGTGATGGTGGAGGCCGCCCGTCCCCGGCACACCGGCCGAGGCGGGGGCGTCGTTCACGTAGAAAATGCTGACCGGCTGCTGCAGGTTGGGCGTCGAGCGACTCATCGGGAGTTTCGGACCGGCCGCCTGCTCCTTGGCCGCTGAACACTCGCCCTTAACCACCTCCTTCCTTCCATTTGCTCTGCAAAATCACAAAAGGGAAATTGTTAAAATCCATGAAATTATTACAATTAGATTAGATCATTTTGGTTTGTTTAGGGTTCAGGATAACTCCACAAAATCACCAAATTGAATATTTCTTTCTTCCCTATAATTTGAATAAATGACAAATTTAACCAATTTAATAAATTTCATATTAACTTTTTTTAACCCTTTTAATAATTCTGTGAATTTTCTCATGATTGATCTCACTTCTAGGAATGATTTCCATTTCAGGGCTAATCTTAAATTTTTAACGGTACTGGATAAAATTTTGCACGTGCTGATGTGTACTTTTAACGACGCATGACTCATCCATCTTCTGCAGGTCGAATATCTCTGATTTAATAACACGATCAAATTTGATTCCTTCCTTGTTGCTTTCAGCACACGTTGATCTCCGACCCGAGCTATTTGCATTTGATTTGTTTGCAGATGCCTCCGAGTGACACGCTGAATTACAAACTACGCAAATAAGTTTTTCATTCCTGCAATTATTATGTGGTTGGCGAGTAATAAAATCACGTGTCTCTCTTTGTTGTTCGAAAAGGTCAATTAGAGCCGGTCGTGCACTCGTTGCTTCCTATATATGCGCTCAATTATCCTGCTGATTATTATTGTTGTGAGTTATGCGAGAGCGTGCGTATGCAAATTCACATATATCTGTTTTCGTCCGTCGTGAGCCTCGACTTCGTATAAAGTGTGTATGAGAATCTTACTCGGGGGAAGAAGCGAGAAGAGATTTTGCGGTGATTTTTCGCCGCAAACTCAAGAACGGGATAAAAATCGCGAGCAGCTGCCAACACCTTTTCGCCTTCTCGCATCGCTGCGCCTCCTCTCTGCGGCTGACAATTGCATCGTTTACTCAGAACCAATTGAAAGGGTTCGCCGTCTTTTTCTCTCTTTTTAAGACGATTTTTATTTCCTTCTCGTCCGAAAAGCAGGAAAATGGCTTCGGAGGCTATTTTCAGCACGATTGAGTTGAAATTTTCAGCACTCTTCTCTGATAGTTTGGATTTCAGAGGAGGAAAAAACGAGCCGGCATTGCCAATCCACCGAAACTAAAAAATTTAACCCAATATAACTTGGAAATTGAAAGTCAATGTTCTACTTGTTGGCTTCTTGGAAAATATCTATAAAGTCCGTGATTTTGTTGTTCATCGTTAAGAATTTCCAGTTTTATTTTTATTTTTATTTGAAGCAGTAGTCTTATTTTTTCCATTCAACCTATGAAAGCCTTGAGAAATATTTCAATTGTTAACTCTTTTCAATTAAAAAGGCAGATTTTTCAAAAGCAATATTTTTTTGTAAAGAAAAACTGCATCATCTTTTGAAAAAATTAGTTCAGTTGTTTTAATAATAATTATTCATTGGCATAGTTCAATTAAGTCTCTACAACAATTGAAATTATTTTGGAAGCTTAAGCTACCATTGTTGTAAAAACTTTGGCTATGTCAATAGAAATTTAGATTTATATTATACTTGTCTTTGTGTAAATTTTTACTGATAATAATTTCAAAATCATTCCTATAATGTTGTTGCGAAGCTTTCTGAGATCATCTGCATAGATATAACGATATGACTTGCGCAATTTCAACTTTTGTACATAATAGCATTAATTCAGCTCTCTATCCGACTCCCACTCGTCCAGACAATCAAACAATAGCATGCATCATGCAAAGAAACATAATCTAACATGAGCACGGAATTAATTTTGTATTAAATAATTTCAACACTCGGCGCCGAGTGTGAAAAGCTTCAAGAAGTGTGCCACAGCAATGATTTGTTTATTATTCACAGACAATTATTTTCTCTGCGGCACACGTGATGGATATTTTATCGTTTTGCGTGTGCACTGATTATATTTGATGTGTATTTATTACTCAGACACAGCGACCTTGCTCGATTTCACGCTGCATTTTTGCCACACAACATCGGCAACGTCGCACCGCGAGAAAGGTGCACGTAATAAAAGTAAGAATCGCTTTTCCTCGCTTTTTGTCGCCATTTCCAAGTGAATATTGAACCCGGCGCGCCGCCAGAGAAAAGACCTTGAACAACAACAGTTTCCACCGCAAAAAAATATCAACGGAGAGAGAAAAAAAGAGGAGAGACACACACACAATTCCTCCTCCACCTCCTCTTTATCTCTCTCGGCACAGGTAAAAATGCTGCTGCAATTCTCGCGCAACGATATAAAAAGCTCAAAATGATCGAAATTTTCAAGTGGAATCTCCGGCATCCGAGTTCGGTGCTCATTTGACCCTTTTGCTTGTCAGTGGAGCCACGATATTTTCCATTGTTGTACATTTCGGGGTGACGCGGGTCCATTTCGGTGTCAGGTAAATGGACGAGCAAGCTTTTGATACTTCAAATTCCGATCAAAAGACCATTATTTGATCTTATCTATAAAATTTATTCGCGCAGGCTCTGAAGAGTTAAAAATAAATAAAAACAGGCGAAAAGATTTTGCTAAACATTGCCCAGTGATTTTTAATTTCAATTCTCCATTTAATTTAAATTTGTAAAAATAAATCAAAATATCAGCAGCTCTACAAAGTAAAAACAAAAAATTATATCGGCTGTCAAATTTATTAATATTGGAAAACAACAATTTTTGTGCATAATTTTAAAACAAAACTGAAATGGAATGAAAAATTTAAGCATAAGCTTAAAACAAAAGTATATAATTTTTATGTCTGTATAATTTTTTTCTATATAATTAATGAATATCTTTCATTCCTACAGGAATTTTCTTTTATATAAAAAAAAGTCTGGAGGTGGCTTTTAAAAAACACTTTTAGCCTGCTTTGGTATGGACGATCGGCCAGCAATAAAAATGCGATTTTACTCGGCGCATAATGAGCCGAGCTGCAAATAAAATGTGTCTCTGGAGGAGGAAAAGGCTCGAATCGGAGTGATTTAAGCGAAAACCGACGCAAGTATGGCAGAAGAATTCTGTCGTAAAAATATTTCAGCCGGCTTGATTTACAAATTAAAAGTGAGTTTGCATAAAACATATAAATACGTGCGTCGGTCTCTGAAATAAGCGAAAATTGCGTCAGAAACGGAACCCGTCAAGGGCCGCAATTCGCGGTTTCGCAATAAATTGTCGCTAATCCAATTTGTCGCGCAAAGCCTTTGAGTTCTTTTCTGGTGATGCAACGCGACGTGGATAATATTGTATAATTGGAGACGAAACAAACCACCTTTGTGGAGGAGAATTTCTCAGCTGGCAGCGGATCGAGGAAAGAAGTGGAAAATTGAAAGCAAATTTGGCACCTGCACGTCAGTCAGAATAAGCGGCCAACGAGAGAACAATGCCCTGTGCCCGGCAAAGACCCCGAAACTCATTTCACTATGGGTGAGGTGCGCGAGCTGAGTAAGCTGGCCAGTCTGCTAAAACCCTACGACGCCCAAATAAAGATCTCTTCAGCGAAATAAATTTGAATTAAGTCATAATTAAAAAGGAAATTTCTTCTAATTATATTGAAATTAAAATTGAATTGAAAAAAGCTGAACTGTTAGAATTTTATAAATAATCAAAAATTTTATTAGCAAAATAAGAAACTATTTAAACATAATTTTATTAATTATTTCTATACTTCAATATTTTAAATATTTATTACTTTCATGTTATACGCACTATTTTTAAAATTAGTTATAAGATTGATTTTTTTTAAATTTCAGTATAGAATTATTAAAACAATTTGTTATTCATGTCTGAGCTTGGCTTGTAAATTTTAAAGGCAAATGGAACAATTTGCAGTGTTGATCAAAATCGATTTTGACGTTTAAAGAGCCTGGAGGCGAACCTCTCTTTTTGGTCTGCGAATAATAAGTTTATTCCGATTCGCAGAGTGCCCTTGAGTTGAACCGAGCCCACCGTACATTTATATTCACTTGATTATTTTTTTTTCTTCTCTTTACTTTCAGAGTCGAGTGGGCGTCTCGGGGCTCTAGACGAACCAAGCATCATCATATAATGTAAAAACCGGTTGCCTTTTTTGTCACAAGCCAGCCAGCACTCCTTGGAACATATTTTCTGAATTCTTATGCACGCCGCGATGATAAAGAGGCAATTGACTCTCTCTCGCTGGTCTGACTCAATATATATGTGATTTCCATAATACATGCCGGAGAGATATTGATAAATTACTTCTTCATCTCATCATCGCCGGCCGGCCCCGACTCGAAAAAAGCTGCCTTATTCCAAGATGGAACGGTCAGATTGAAAACAAAAGAAGCCATTATGCACGCGGCCGGTATAATAATAATTTATATAAAATATAAATCCCCCTGTTGGATAAATACTTGAGAGGGACAACCGTGATACGCTGCCCGGCTGCAGAGGTAATTATATTCTCGCCACTTGTTGATTTTTATCGTCCAATATCGATCAGCGCAACAATGCCGCCGCGTGCTGGCCACAGGTAGCACAACAATAATAATAACAATAAAACCTGACCGCCGAGAGTTCTATCCTTTCGCAGGTGTGGCCCATGATAGACCAGAGAGTGAACTTTTTTGCACTGAAAAACGAAAACCTCATCTTGATGGAGAGAAAAAACGATCTATAATATATTATGTGCGTTTGATTGGAATGAAAAAGGACAAAAAGTGTACACAAAGATTGGCTCATTGAATTTCCAATTAAGCTAAAAATAAAAACCGAGGCCAAGATAAAAATAGATCTTGTTTTACGCATAATTTTTTTCCTATACAATCCGAGAATTACACAATCTCGGCCAATTTTTATTTCTCTCTGCTGTCGGATTTGGTAAAACGGCTCCAATTATTATCAAATAGGCGCTCACATGACAAAAGAAGTGAAAGAGAGATGCAACAAACAAGAATTTCCAAACTTCATTAAAAAGTGAACCACTTAAGTTGGTACGTTACCAGATCGGCACGAAAAATCGTGCCTGGCCAACTAACTACACTCATCGGTTTGGAGAATCCGGCGTTTATTGCGCAAGAGGA